ACAATATACTCCTTGGATACTCTCCGCTTACTCAAATCAATATATCCCTTATCCATGTCAACCCTGGATACAATATAAATACAATATACTCCTTGGATACTCTCCGCTTACTCAAATCAATATATCCCTTATCCTTGTCAACCCTGGATACAATATAAACACAATATACTCCTTGGATACTCTCCGCTTACTCATATCAATATATCCCTTATCCTTGTCCATCCTAGATACAATATAAATACATTAGACTCCTTGGATACTCTCCTCTTACTCGAATCAATATATACCTTATCCTTGTCAACCCTGGATACAATATAAACACAATATACTCCTTGGATACTCTCCGCTTACTCAAATCAATATATCCCTTATCCTAGTCAACCCTGGATACAATATAAATACAATATCTTCCTTGGATACTCTCCTCTTACTCAAATCAGTATATCCCTTATCCTTGTCAACCCTGGATACAATATAAATACAATATATTCCTTGGATACTCTCCGCTTACTCAAATCAATATATCCCTTATCCTTGTCAACCCTGGATNTCATACCCTAGACAATAAATAAATAGACAACCCAGACGACAGGGTCATACCCTAGACAATATATAAATAAATGACAACTCAGACAACAGGATCATACCCTAGACAGTATATGTATAGATAAATAGACAATTCTGACAACAAGATCATACCCTAGACAGTATATGTATAGATAAATAGACAATTCTGACAACAGGATCATAACCTTGACAAATATATAAAATATAGATGAATAGACAATCCAGACAACACGGTCATCCTCTGGACCAATTTTTAGAAAGATTAATAGACTCTCCGACAAGAGGATCAAACCACAATAATATAGATAAAAAATCTTCTATGCAACTCCGACAAAGTAAGTAGACAAAACACTATTAAAAAATTTCCCCTTCCTAGTTGAAGGGTTAATGATGCTTTGACAAATGTCCTACGTTCCTATGTTCCTTGTATTTAGAATAGATAGAAAGATTTTATTCTTTTATTGTAAGGCAAAAAATAAAGAATAAGTTTAGATAAACCAGTTGAATTTCTAACTTATATTTCTTGAATGAAGTTTTGATATTTACCTCAATATTGTTGTATTCAAGGAGATGTACATACGCCCCCATGTCCGCTATAGACCTTAACAAAAAAAAAGGAAATAAGAAATACTAAGTAAAAATGAAGTATCGACATACGCTATCTGCAACATCTTTTGTCATATAAAGTTGCAAGGGTACCGTTGTACAAATACCGAGATTCTTATGTTCTGTATATACCTACAGTACACGCCTTCGGTTCGGTATTCCTTACACACACTCTTTAAGTACAGACACACACACATGACGTTTCCGACCCCCTGATCCAGATCCTAACCCACCATAAAAATAGATCTTAGGAACTGAGTATGAACAAACCTGACGTTCACCATGACGACCTCATCTATCTCAGGATAGCGCTGCTCGTAGAATCTACACGTCAACGGCATTTTCTCTAAAATTAAATTTCAAAATTTTTTAATTTTTTTTTAAAACCTTAAACTCAATTATTGTCTTCTAGCTATTTCTAGCGAAACGTTTTTAAAGTTAAAGGTTTGGTTTTTAAATGCAGAAAATACTAAAATGCCCCTCAACTCAAGGATTTACGCAGGAGAAAAAAGGAGCACCATTTTTACTACAGTATCACAATTTGTAAATCTTAACATCACAGGGATATATTGCCGATGATTCGGTTTCATAAATGCGTCAGAAGTTTGCGTCATACCAATTAGATGGATAACCATGACGCAGAGGATGTTCCAATATGTGGTATAAATGCATTGATTGATAAGATTCAGAAAATTCTAGTTCCTGGATTTCAAATGGGATTGTGATATATGATTTGCTTACCAGTTTAACTATTTTAAGTGTGTTTAACTGTAAAAAATTCACAAAAAATATTTCATCTTTCACACTTCAAAAGAGCTTTCATTTGTATAAAATATTTCTTGGAAGAAGTTTACTGACAAGCTCTCTAATTGGAAGATAAAAATCAATACTAAAACTGTGAAATCAAACAAGAAGAAGACTAAAAACAAGCTAATTCCCGACTGCTGTATTTATCAAATCATTTCAGATCATCCGATCATTTACGATCATCAGATCATCAACGATCATCAAATCGTCTAAGCGATTCCGTGCTTCTTTTGGAGCTCCAAGTCTTCCTAAAACATAGCAAAAAAAATATATTTTTCTACAAAATTATTCTTTATATGTTTAGTTTTTAACCAAAAAATGGTTTAAAATACTTAACAAAAAACCCTCAAAAGTTTAACTTAAATTAAATGTCGTCATCCACTGATAGACATACAACAAATAACGAAAAGTGCTAGACCCAACAAGCTTTAATAATCTTGTGACCAGATTTAATGAAGACATGATTATACCGCGTATGTGTGGTTCAACCAATTCTCTTGTGCGCCGGTTCAAGCTAAAGAGAAATGGTTGAACCACGTTTACACAGTTCAACCATATATTGGTATTAATAAATCTGGTACTTTTGGCTCCTGGATCTACAGAATAGCTCGCTGATTTCTACAGAAAAGACGACCAAGAAAATTTAAAGTTTTTTCATTTACCATCATTCAGAGTAAAAGTTGAACGTGCTTATCACGATAAAAATATCACTCTATTTCTGAGGCAGGATTGACTTGAAGTTGCGAGTACAGTCCCTTTTCATTCCCCTGGGTTAGGTCAATATAAATTGTATAAATGATTTACCTTGACAAGCGAGTTAACTCCGTCTATCATACACTGAACCAGTTCAACCTCACTGTATCCCAACCTTGAATCAGTTTGTTTTACATTAAAGGGACAGTAAGCGCAATTTCAAGTGACCCTTCGTGCAAAGATGGCAATGTCCGATTTACAACGGTATCTTTGAAAGATGTGTCTGAAGAAATGTTGATTAAATATGTTTTTGTTTTTTTAAAACTATTTATTTTAATTTGTTGATTTTCTGCAAAAGTGATTTGCGCATTTTTTACTTATGAGAAACAATGGAGGAAATTTCGTAATTAAACAGTTTTTGGGTCAGAAAAACGGCGCCATCTTCCTCATCTTTTATCAGATTAAGGTTTCAAGGATACTGTTGTAAATCGGACATAGTTATTTTTGTACGGAGGGTCACTTGAAATTATGTTTTTAGTCCCTTTAACAATACATCTATCATCATAAATATAAGTGGTATACAATATTTTTTTATATCTCCTGGATCTAGAAATTACGGGTAGCAGATATTAATTTACAATTATACGATCCTTTTCATTGAACTTTTTTTCAGAAGTTACAATATTTTTTGTTATTGCTATGCCCACTCTTTCTTTAACTTTTAACGAGTAAAATTATATTATATCACGATAGATTGTGCAAAGTTTGAATTATGACCTTCTCTCAGAAATTTCAGTTTTTTTCAATTATTTTCAAGTCAGAAATTTCTATAAATCTTAAATGTCGTAAATCACATCAATTTGACGTGAAAAATTGGAACAAATGAAAAATATTTAACCAAAATATTTGTTTTCCAATAATTATCTTTATAAGCTTGTTATGTTATCAAATAGAATTCATGTCTAAAAATTGCCTGTGTTTATTAGAGATATCGTAAGTGATCCCAGTTTGTCCCCCGGATTCCCCCCTGGTGCCTCGAGGTTGCACTTTCAACTCCTCACACCTAGCCTTCAGTACAGACAATCCTTCCTTAGTATAGCCAGGCAGGTCAACATGGACACTAGCTCGCATACCTGGCAAATTGATTCTTTAGTAACGTAGGGTTCTTTATCTAATAGAATTACTACAACCCCCCCCCCCCCCNCGGGGAGGAGAGGGAGGGGGGGAATGATTTTCGAAAATATGGAAAAGCAAAATGAATATGGGATGATCTCCCATTTTCAAGTTTCGCAAGTTTTTAAATATTTTTTATACATTTTAAAACTTGATTTTGATTACCCTTCCTGTTCCAAGATTAGTAGGGAAAGCAAAAATAAATTCATATTGAAGAGGAACCACCCCAGAGCTACGTCAATATCCTAACTGTTCCAAGATTAGTAGGGAAAGCAAAAATAAATTCATATTGAATAGGAACCCCGCTACGCCAGTATCCTACCTGTTCCAAGATTAGTAGGGCAAGCATGGATGAATCCATATTTAGGATCCAACATGAAATCCTTTCCGGATTCCTTTTTCACACTCTCACCCACCGCCTATTTAAGGAACCAGATTCTTTATTTTATTAAATCAAAATACAGGTTGTAGGGCTGGCCTAAAACTCCAGAATTGGAACTAAAACGCTCTTAGTGAGAATATGAAAAGATGTTTGTTTACAATTGCTTGTTTTAGTAAGATAAGTATTTAGTGCAAACAATTTTGATTAAAAGAAAAATAATGACATGGGGAGTGGGTGAACTTAGAATAATATGAAAACGAATTAAGACGAGATACGGATGTGCTTTTTTTGACGTCTTAAAACCATAATTTGCTGAACTAGTAAAAAACTCACGCACTTTTTTATTTAAACTCTTGATAGTCCACAAATATAATGAAAGCGAATTATGAAGGGATCCAAATGTGTATTTTTGTCCCTTTTAAAGTAAGGATTGTTTAAACTTAAAAATTAAAAATTTAAATAAATTGTTTCTCTGAAGATCATAATATACCACAAACATCACTGCATACTGAGAGCGCGTCGGACCCAGGAAGACAAAATATTGTTGATCCAACGCACTGTCTCTTAAAATGCGAGTAAGAATCTGTCCCCCTGCCTGAATTCCTCTAGCCAGTCTGTCGAACACCCCTTTGACATCTCCGCCCTTCTCCATAGAGATGATCCTCAGCTGGTCCTCCTCGTTGACCCAGGTCAAGAAGGTTTTATCCTGGAATATTCCGGGGTGTCCAAATATTTATATCAAATTATTTTCTAACCAATAAAAAAATATATATATTTGACAATTGCAACTCCAGAACAAAAAGATCTTTTTTTGTTCTGAACTTTTCTTTCTAATTGAACTCTCTAGGATAACCCCCTAGCTCCTTGTAGAAGAACATATTTAGCCTTTACCAAGAAAAAATATAAAATCAGCCCCCAACGACTATGAGACATAAAACACTGAACACCCCTGCCTTATTATGGAAGATTCCTCGCCCCTCTGGCCAGTCCCTCTCCATACCAGAGGTTTGAAGGTTCTTGTCTCCTGGTACAAAACAACAATAACCAAAAGAATTGTTATAACGCTAAATGTTTAATGAAGAGCTCTGATTTAAATATTTTTGAGTTATATCATGCTTTTTGTTATCTGAATAAATTCTGAAGTATTGCTTATAAAAATAAGAAATATAAACATCGTAAGATAGGAAGAAAGATCACCTGATGAAGTGCTTAACTGTTATTGTGATGAAACATTTCGTATACATGTAATTACTATTTCCATGATTTTGTGTGCGTAAAATTAATGTTAATCTACCAAACCATTTTCAACTTTCAATAGAATGATTATGTCCCTGAAAGCCACTCCACTATATAAGAAAATAAGATTTCAATAGAATGATTATGTCCCTGTAAGCCCCTCCACTATTTAAGAAAATAAGATTTCAATAGAATGATTATGTCCCTGTAAGCCCCTCCACTATATAAGAAAATAAGATTTCAATAGAATGATTATGTCCCTGTAAGCCCCTCCACTATTTAAGAAAATAAGATTTCAATGAGAGCTTAAAACTTTTGAGGTAAAACATAAAGTGATATTTTAACTTTGTGAGTCAGATTAGCTTTGCCAAGATTTAATATATTGCAGACCATTCAAAACTGTCCCGCTCGTAAACAAGGAAAAGTTTAGAGACTGGTTCAGCAGTGTTATTGTTTTCCTGATACAAAGAGGAAATGATCATCTACAAGCTGTTGTCGGACTTTCTCTTCCATTCCAGTCAGAGGATAGTAGGTGCCAGCCAGATCGCCTAGATATTCTTTTATTCATCAATTTATTCAATTTACTCAATTTACTCAATTAACTCAATTGACTCAATTGACTCAATTGACTCAATTGACTCAATTATTCACTTACTCAATTACTCAATTACTAAATTACTCAATTACTCAATTACTCGTCTACCCGACTACTCGACTACTCATCTCCTCATTTATTAATTTACATAATTACTAATTACTCATTTAATCATTTACATAATTACGTACACATTTACATATTTACTCATTTACATATTTACTTTTTTACATATTCACATATTTCTAAGTGCACTGAAAGGCCGTCTTTCTATTATTTTCCGCACCAGGAAGAGAAAGCCCCTTTATACACATTATAATTGAATTACCACACAATTATTTATTACCTGTAAGGTTAGCAAAGGCTTTCTTCATAAGGTTCTCTACATCTAGTCTCTGGGTCCTGGTGATTCCAGGAGAGAGACCAAACCCATCAATGTTTCGTCCAACCCGGATACGGGTAGAATGAACAGGAGCAGAGGGGTCAATGTTTCCCTGATCAGATGTATAAAAATGTTATCAATTGAACTATCAAGGAGATGCCAGATGAGAAGCATAGATCAAATCAGGAGAACTGGTTAGTCAAAATCAAACTGAAAAGCTTTCAGAATTTCTTACGCAGATTGAGAGCCCTTCAAACGTTTAATATTTAACATTTAAGGTTATTTGAAGGGCTTTTCAGGGTACTAACAAAAGTTCTGGTATATGACATCGTGAAATAGTGAATTTCTTTTTGTGGGGGAGAAGGGGGGCTCTAATAAAAGGTCGACGAAATGAAATGTCAGTTCCTATATGTAAATATTGTTCACCTTTATTTTGGAAACATCCATGTCAGACTCATGAACAACATCTCCAGAGATACCGTGATACTCCTAATCAATCAATCAATCAATTCGTCAATCATTTCATCCATCAATCGATCATTAAATAAATCAAGCAATCATACCAGAATTGATAGTGAAATTTTCAACCAAGAAAATTGAAATATGTGGTAGGAACATAAGTGCGCCAAAAAAAGTAAAAAATGCTATAAATATTAAATGTAAATAATTAAAAACGTCTTCAACTGCTTTAACAGTAAAAAATCATTATTATTTCACCGCAGGATACGGATAAAAAAACGTTTAAAAAATAATCCGGTCCAAACCTAGTCGGATGAGATAGGAACAAAATCCATAGCACTGCTCGCAAATAAAATAGGACGAAAAATTTTAGAGTCAAAGTCAATATTGATCTCTTTCATTTTGGAATATTGGATTACTGACCTGGATAATAGGATCAAACACTTCAGCAAATATTTTGTAGGAATCCCAGTCACCTGAATCCACAAATTATCATATTCTTTTATGTTAACGAAAAAACAGTTATTCATGATAAATTTAATAATATAAAATATTTACTTATTTTTTATATATAATCGCTCTGCTGTAACCCAAGAGAATAGAATATATATTAGAGTGGAATTTAGAAAATCCCTCGGTATGAATTTTGTCAGTCCCTTTCAGCCTGAAAGGGAGTTCAAAGTGTACAAATCATGTAACTGTTCACAAATTATATGCAGGAGAGTACATAAATACAGTATGTTCCCTTGACTATCCATTTCAATTTCGAATTTTTTAAAGCTGTTAAATAAACTTTATAATGAATTAAGTGAATAAAAAACATCATTTGATTTATAGTTATAACGGAAAACCATCGTTTGTAAAGTGAAAGGCATAGTGTCTATGTGAAATGGTCATTGGTGGTCAATTATGAAACCAGCCTATTTCATAATTTGTTTTTTTTAATATTAATTTTAGATTTTCTAAAAAATGATGTTCCAGGGCCCAAAAGTACACCTTTAGTATGGAAACAGTATAAAAAATGTCCGTTTTACATTTTTTCTAATAAATTCCACTCTAATATATATTCTTTTCTCTATGGCTGTAACACAGTGTCTAATTTAGTCACCTACTTTTTACAGTCAAAGGGACAGTCGTCGAAATTTTAGATGACCGTCCATTAAAAAAAAATTGTGACATGTGCTATTCACAACGGTACCCTTAAAATCTTAATCTGTTTCAGAATGAGTAAGATATCGTACTTTTCTGCCATGATAACTTGTTTAATTCTGATAATTTCTGCATTGTTTCTAAAGCTAGAATGCGTGAATCACCTTAGCAGATACACCACATATAAAAATGAACAGTTTTCGGGCAAAAACCGATGGATTTTTAATTCATACTCTCAAACGTTATTTAGATTATTTGTGTGAATTGGACGTGCCACTTTTTCAATAGTGGGTCGCTTGAAATCGCGTTTACAGTCCCTTTTTACAGATATTTCAGTCTTTTTCCCCCCGATCATAATGTTTAACCTGCGTATATTCCACAGTGCTGATCATCATACTCCGTAGCGCAAGCAATAGCTTTAGCTAAGGTGAACCCAGCTGTTGTAGTAACAGCCTGGTGCAGTTTGTCCCAGATAGGTTTAGTCACATACTTGGCAACCAAGCTGTGCTTGGACTTGATCTCCGGCATAGGTTCACCCATTTTATCTGAAATAATAGTTATAGTTCACAGCCAGCAGACACACATTTTACAAATAATTAAATTCAGCCATCGGATCAGATTCAGATACATGTAAATTTCCGAACCCATCTCATGTATATCATTTGTACGTTCATTGTACATAAAGCGCCTCCCAGAAGATATTTAGAGAACCTCAAGCATTTTCTGAATGCAGTTTTGTTATGTTAGCATTATCGAAAATTTAGAATGATTTGCTCTTTCAAAATTTTCGGTCCCAAAAATCCAAGTTTAGGGCATTCCTCTATCCTATATGAGGTGCGACACCCTGTATTTCATAGTCATGTAAATCAAGTATACACGTTAATGCACGATTTCAACATTTGTACATGAAACTGTACAAGACTAATTGCGTAACTGAAGTACTTTGATGGGCACTGTACAGCCATCATGTTTACTAAACATGAGTTAACGTACTGCAGAATAAACTGGAGGAACGACAAGATAACTGAGTGGAGAGGCTGAAATAAATCCTAAGCACAATTTAAGCATATTTTTTTGTAGAAAATTTATTGCGAATAATAACCAGCATTTCACAACTGTTATAATGACATTTCTAGATTGTTCAAATCAAATTTAATCAAGTAAAATAAGAATTGCTTAGTTAATACTTTCATATTAATAGTGAAACTCAGTTAGTTTGAGTTTGGTGTTTAATTTGCTCGTATGTTACTGACAATCAGACAAAATAATCAAAATATGCCCAATTCTGATATTGCCTGTAAGTAGACTTTGTGCCATTCATTTATCTTTGAAGGATCCATCATCAAGATATATATAACAGCCTAAACAGTAAAGATATAAGATCAGGATCTATTTAAAAACATTTATACCATACTAAAAACTCATTTCTTAGGCTTCTAGCCAAGCTTAACGAGCAAAAGATCAATTTGTCGACATCAATTTATAAATATTAAACAAAATATGTAATCATTTACCACTTTTGAAGTTTTACGTATCGACCAAATTTCACTATTTTCGACGTAAATAAACGTTATGTATAAAAAGAAATCTTAGACAAACACTAACCAACAAGGGTGTATTATGCATTTTTTTTAATGAATTTGGGGAAATTTAAAAAAAAAATCAAAATCAAAAGGCAATTTTTGTCACTTTTTATTCCTACATTTTGATACTTTTATTCAAAAATTCCAAGGATTTTTCCTTAAAAATATTATTCCTCAAATTAGCGGGGAAATAATTTGAGCACCGCATAGGCATCCCAAATAATTTCTGGAGAAAACTGATATTCAAAGAGGGGGGCTGATTGAAAAAAAATACACCCCTGCGTTACACAAACAAAGAAAAATCAAGTCTTAGACTAAATGTTAGACACAGTCAAGACCTAAGAGGAGATACTCCACCTGTAGATTCCACGGAAGGTGACCTTCGGAAATACCAAGATTTGAAACAAGACCAGCTTTTTCCAATAAATCTAGTTTAGCCTAAAGTCAGACAGACAGTATAACATATTAAAAAATTCACCAAAAATATCAATTATTTTTCCTTGAAATAAGCTAATTCAGCACAATTTAGCGAAACCCGTCTTAACAAATTTGCTTCACATAATAATTCATAACATGTAAAAAAAAAATATTTAAGGACGATTCTCAGCAAAATAAATATCCATGGTTTAAAATAATTTTCTGCTTCTGCCTTGATATTTGAGATGTTGTAACGAAGTTTAAGAAAGTTGATCAGTTCTTCCAGTTCTACTTTAATATGTTCATTCTGGTTTCCTTTACCTTCAATATAATTTTTATTTAAGGAAAACAAGAGGGACTGTAGTCTCTAGTCTCTACACATAATTTCAATTGCTTGATCCAGAACGGTGCACTTGAAGTATGAACTAGATATAGATATTTATCGTTTTCAAAACTTATTCTTGTGAATTGTGGTTTCTCTAAAAATGTGACTTGCACATTTCTACTGAAGGAAAATGAACAGTATTCATAAACCTAGAAAATAAACAATGTCTTCTACAATATTGAAAAGATAAGAGCTTAAAGGGTACCGTTGTGAATCGAGCATTGCCATCTTTAATGGAGGGTCACTTGAAATAACGCCACCCTTTAACCTTATGAATCCAATATATGTTTTCCAAACTAAATTTTTTTTGCCGCTCATACTTCTAACAAATGTAAAAAAAAAGATTATGCGAATAAATGCACAATGTTTATTAATGGTTTTAGTCAATACGTTTGACATTTTATTTCTGAAGTATTGATGAAAATAGTAATAATTACAAAAGTAGATAAACCAGAACACCCCCCAAAAAAAAAAAATTCTATTACAAAAAAGTTTACAGCAGATTTGATAGGAAAGTGGACTGAAGTACCATTTTTTCTTTCAAATATATGGGGATTTCTGGTATATTTTCAATGTTTTTAATAAATAAAACAATAAAGGAATAGGACGATGACTTTTAGGCCATATTTGATGTTGATGTAAAGAAAATACCAGTAGGTTGAAGATCAACCAAGTAGTCAAATGAGTCATTGTAAAATGCACAACTGCTGTGTTTGATGTTTTTGAATTATTATGAATCAGAACTTGTGCCACCACTCACCAGTCGTCTTCCTATTCCAAAGTATTATAGGGCCTCAATGAAATTACCCACCTAGATGAAACCCGTACTCTGTCAATAGTTTGGTATTCGAATGTTTCCCGTAGCAAATAAATAATTCCGAGAACTTGGAGGTATCTTGGTCCACCTTTATCTCGTAATAGTATCCTCCTCCATCCCTAGATAATATTTAATACTGGAGAACCTGGAGGTATCTTGGTCTACCTTTATCTCGTAATAATATCCTTCTCCATCCCTAGATAATATATAATACTGGAGAACCTGGAGGTATCCTGATCTACCTTTATCTCGGTAATAGTATCTTCTATCTCTAGTTAAGTTAATGATTTGGGGCAAAAATCAGTAAATGTTTATCAACTCAATTCCAAATAGCAAATGCTTCCACCTTTTAGATACTGTTTCTGGGGTATACTGTATATTTTAAAGAATTTCACTCCCTAGGTCGGGGGAGGGGACTGAAGATTTTTGATGAATTGGGGGGAACAAATGGGACATCAAACCTCAAAAGGCAAGTATTTTCATTCTTTTTATTATTTTTAACCCAAAAAAATTATTTTCACTGAAAAATCATTAATTTTTCCATTCAGCGAAAACCCCTAATGAACAATTTTTACGCCCCGCGCAACCATTTATTACTTCCTGGGAAAAAAACGATTTTTTACGAAAATTTACACCCCTGTGCTGTTCACCAAATACAAAACAATGGAAATGACTAAATCAAATCATTGTCTCTATTCTTTATTTTAAATTAATTAAAATTCTCTATTTCAAATTCATAGAAATAAACTCTTAAAGCTAACCTGGACTGTTTGATATTTATCCCAGCCTCTACGCTTACATCATCTAAATATTTGTATTTGCAATAAATTAGATAAGTAAGAATTGGTATTCAATATGATCCGGGGTGAATATTTTCCTAGAGTCCCCCCCCTTTCTAAAAATACTTTTTTCCCCAAAAGTTCTCTAATGGTTGCGCTCCGCCCCCAAAAAAATACAAGTTTATCACTGAATATGGAAAAAAAATATTGTTCAGGAAAAAATGATTTTTTGGTTAAAAGTACCAAAAAAAAATTTGGCTTTTGCTGTCGCATTTTCCATTGATATTTACAGGGGTGTAAACTGTATATCTGAAAAAAATTCACCCCTGTAAATATATGAAGTACCGAATTAAAAAATTTAAATAATTTATTTTCCGCAAAAGATCTTAATGGTTGCGCAGAGCGCCCCCAAAAAAAATTAGATGTTTATCACTGAATATGGAAAAAAATTATAGCTCAGGGAAAGAAATGATTTTTTTGGGAAGTACAAAAAAAAACACAAAAACTTGGCTTTTGCTGTCCCATTAAGCATTGATTTTTACCCTTGATACCTGAATGATTGAGCAGATCTAGGAAAGGGACCAGGGCAAGCGTATTCTCTCCCCTCTCCCCTTTTCCTGAATCCCTGGACAAATATAGCGTTGGCAGATTTAAGTAATCAAAATCGATCGGTTCAGCCATTTTTACGTTTAAAGGATACATACAAGCAGACAGACAGACAGACAGACAAGCAAAGTATATATACATATTTATTACTTTTTTGGAATTTGAAAAAAAAATTAGATTTTTGAAGAAAAAAATGTCGATTTTTCTTGTTTTTGTTACTCCCCGGGCGGCAGGCACCCATGGGTTCCCTCAACAAATTTCAGCTCATTCGATCCAGCCGTTTGGACAGCTTAGTTGACATACATATATTAGCGAGAGCTTTATTATATAGAGAATATATACGACCATTAACCATGTTTACACTGCGAGTTTTTATTTCTCCGATAAAACTGAAAATAAATTGTGGTCTTTGAATTTAAGGAGAGCACAGATAACAATTTTTCAAACTTTTTGCGTTATCTTTTTTTGCGGGTAATAACATGTAATATGCATTCAATATACAATAAATCTAGGGGAAAGGAATACAAAATATTCTTGTTTAAATTTTAAGAATCATAATTGTGAAATTAACCATTTCTACGGCTAATATTCTAGGTGAAAATAAAATCAAAAGACCTGAAATTTAAAACCAATTTTATCAACCCCTTTTATAGAGATATATGCTTACACTGATATTTTATTATATTTACAAATGTTTTATTCCTTAGCTTTGTCCTGTACTTCCACAATGAACAGTATTAAATGAACACGTTAAGATTTAGTAAAAATATTTAATTTTATTAATAAATTATAACCAACAAGTTGTTCATTTTATGTAGTGCATGAAGGGTCGTAGCCTTCTGAAAAGTGAAATTAATGTTTACGCTATCGCAAAAACAAATTTGATCTTAGATGTTTTAGATCGCACAATGGGGTTTTTAACTAGTTACTAACCTAGGATCCTTCTCTAGATAAACAGCTCTAGTATTTACAGTTGAGTAACCCCAAGTATATCTGCAACAAGCAAACAGACCCTTGTAATAAGCTTTTCTGTATCTTTTCAGGTTATTTCTCCCTAAGTTTATTAATTTCCCAGCAAAACACAACTATAAGTCAAGCTTAGAAAGAGTTTAAAAACATTATTCAAGAGTAGATTATATTTAAAAATCTGTTTCCTATTAATGTTTAGATCTGTAAAATATTCCTTGAGCAGAAGATAGGATTGTTGAATTATATTCTCCTGAAACCGGTTTTAATAAGGTCACTGAACTACCTATACTGCAGGTTCAATTTTGAACCGATTAAAAGATAAGAAATTTTTTAGAGCAGTGATTCAAATGTATTAAATTCGTTCCCTGGTTGTATACATGGGAGGAGATGTAGCCTGGTAGAGCACTCAGTTCAGTCTAACCAGCACAGGTTTAGTTTCTCTTAATTTCAAAAACTCGCCCTAGGGACTTGAAGAGACAGCAAAAAAGAAAAGAAATTAAACTTCTTGTCGACAAGGTTCGACTTTTTCGACTTTCTGAGCCAAGATTCAAGTTATCGGAAGGATGAACAAAAAAAGATTAAAAAAATTTGTTGAAGGCATGAAAAGATTTAAACTACATAAAAGATTTTGACTTGCCACCCGTTGTATAAATTTAAACCATAATTTTTATATCAATTCAAATTTATTGAAATTTTCTAAATCATACCTTGCTTTAAGAAATTGATAACTAAAGATTAAGTTTTTAATTTTTTATGTATTCTATGAAATTCCAGATATAAAAAATTAATAATGAGGAAAGCATAAATGAAAAAATGGACTAGTCTGTGCCTGATTGTAATACAAAGGAAGAGAATATTCATTAGGTAGATAATTTATATAAGGTTTCCAGTGGTCATCTAACCCTGGATATGGTTTTAAATCCGCATCCTTCTCCAGTAAGGGATTAAGATCCTTGTCCGTCTCTAGCTGGGGGTTTAGGTTCTTTACAAGATGAGGTTTTACGAATTTATCCTTCTCAATCGCCAACCAAAAACTCAGCAGAACCTATGATACAGAAATGTTAGGGTACATTCTCAAAAAAAGATCACTCCTGCTTCTTTTTCAAATTCTTCTCAAATCATAGTATTAAAACCAACATGATTTGGGATACCCACTACCCTCAATGTATATGGGATAAAACTAAAAAAAAAATCATTTGAAGATGTTTTCTGTCTAAAAATTGGACAGCTGCAGGAAACACTAAATGCAAAAAAAAAAGACGCACTAAATTAATTCTGTGCCCTGGATTAATGCCATTTATGAACATATCTAACCTCTGTAGGAAAATATGATTTTCAGAAAAGGAAGACTGGAAAAATAGACATGAAAAATATAAATCCGAGTTAACCTTGTCAAACCTGTGTAGAAAATTTTTCAAAATGCTCTGCAAGGATTTCTCCAACCCAAGAAGTAGAAAGATAGTATCTTGTTACACATGCTTCGATTGGAATAGAAACTAAATATAATATATTATTTGTAGCAAGATCTTGTTCTAAACTTCCAAAGATCAAATTTTGGATGATTAATTTTGAAAATATGTGCCTAGCTTTGAAGTTGTACTTTCGTTTAAAGACTTTACCACAACACTATTCGATCCATGGTAGCACTACTAAGAAACTAAAAAGATCAAATAGTATTTGAGCAACTCCTAAAACATAAATAAACTATTAACTTATGCAGATTTTCTTTGTCGTCAATTACTCAAAACGTCTCAAAAATCCATATTTAGAGCTCAGCAGAATCCAGGATAATGAAACGCTATATTCACAATCGGAAAGGTTAAATACAGAAGCAAGGGAGGGTGTTGTGCAAGAGTTTTAAACATGAAACAGACATATCTAACGGTGGAAAAAATATCGTTACTTGCCTATCACAGAACCTTCTTTCACATGCTCTAAAACCTGCAAACCCCGGTCTGTAGATTGGAATTTAGCAACTCTCATTCTTAACAAAACTATCGTATACTTTTAAGGCTAAGAAGGCCCGGGGGAAGAATGAATAAAAATGTGTACTACAGAGGCTCAACTAAAAAATTATCTAAAATTTAAGAAATGATAGTTTTTAATGTTCCTGTAGCATGGCGTCCAGTCTTTGAGCTTCAGCCATTTCATCAGATTTACAACTTCGGGTTCATGACCTTTCAATAAAAACATTTGAGCATATCTTTCAAATAAACATGTTTTTATAAAGTTATTGTTACATTTTACCTAAATTGAATCCATCTTTTTCGAGCAATTTATCTTTTTTCCTCATTTTTTATTAACTTTTTAACTTTTCCTTTTCAAACCAGTTTCTGATTTCAATGTGGTTTATTTCATGAGTTGCGGCATTGTACTAAGGCGAAAATGTACTTAACTAGAGCATGCGCAGATATATCACAAATTTCCAAAAATTAAAGGGGTTTTCTTCATTTTTTGTTGGAAATATATTTTCATATTTTTTTCAAGATTTCAGACTCTTTGTATGAATTCAATGAATATTTTTTTGTAAAAATTAAATTTTTTTTGTGAAATCTTTTATTCTTTTGATTAATAATAGGAATTAGTTGCGGCATTTCCCATAAACCGTGACAGCAACATCGAAGAAATCCAGAAATTCCCTAAAAATTAACAAAACTGGACCCTCGTACGTTTATTATGTAAAATATATGAAATGTTCAAAATGTAGTACCTTGTTATTTACTTTACCTTGCACGTCGATCACGCCTTTATGAACGGATACAAGATTCACCAATTTGATAAGATTTGTTTCCAGAAAATGTCGTACAATGGCGGGGGTGCATATGGGTCTCAGTACTCGGATGCGAACAACTATTATACTGCCTCATACACCAACCCTCCCCCTCCTCCCCTCCCAGTCCCTGATACCGTCCCTCAAGGTAAATTTGGGGGTAGGGTGGGGAGAAATTAAAGGCCTGATAATTTCCTAGAGAACAATTTTTGAACCCCTCCCCCCCCCCTCCTCCTATCAATTAATGGATCTCATATGCAACACATGTTGTTTGTAAGAACTTAAATCTTTGCATAGAAGTATCATAAAGTCTGCAAATACTTCTTTTCTGCTTTATCCTCAAAAAAATGTGCATTAAAGGTTATTAAATGTTAGAATTCCAAAATATAATAGGTCATTAAATGAAAGAATTCCAAAATATTATAGGTTATTAAAATGCATAAATTCCAAAATATTATAGGTTATTAAAATGCAAAAATTTCAAAATATTTTAGGTCATTTAATGTTAGAATTTCAAAATATTATTGGTTATTAAATGTTAGAATTCCAAAATATTAATTCCAAATATTATATCCCAAAAAAAAAAAAGTATTCAATCTTTCCTTTTTCCTAAAGTTCTAATAGATACTTCTGCATTTTTTAAATTTTGACAGAGAATGTAGAAAAATAGAAAACCAGATAAATCTAATTCCCGACCACTTCTAGAAGAAACACATTACATTTCCTTTCTTTTGAGGTTGAGGTTTAAACTTTAAAGGTTAAATTCAAACTATTTTAAGTCTGTGATACAAACTGGTCAGACTGGTGGCGGAGCCGAATACGAACAAAACTACTGGTCCGCCTACTATCCTACTTACGGCGGAAATAGTATGACTGAAACAGCCCCCAGAGGCGGAGCTAGGGGCGGAGGAGGATTCAGGGGCGGAGCAACTAGAGGTGGCTCTCGAGGCGGAAGGGGTGGACGAGGAGCCAAGAACTGGAATACCGGTGGATCCGAATGGGGTGGAAGTTCTTCGGAGTGGGGGCCTCCAGGCACAGAAACGTCCAATTGGTCGACATCCAATCAAACTTGGACGCCAGCTTCAGGATCTAACGCGGATTGGTCGCAATCCGCAGGATCCAATCAGAATTGGACTCCATATAATCAGCAAGAGGGTAGAGGTAAAATTAATTAATTTAAAAAAATTACCTGAAATAAATCATATAAACTGAAGTTTCCCTTCCCCCGGCATGTTAATTTGTGAATTCATTTTGTAACAAATCTCTGATCCTGAAAGTAAATTTAATGAAATTAAAATTGAAAAGTGTTTTTTTGAGCAAAGTTGTTGGTGAAATTTCTTAGTAGATCATTTCCTGCCTTAAATTAATCCTAAATTAAATTAAATTTAAGCGTGTAAATTAAATTAAAGGGAGTGTAAGCGTGATACCCTTGAAACCTTTCTCTGATCAAAATGTAGTAGATGCAATCGTTTAACTGACTCGAAAAGTGTTCTTTTTTCTGTGAGTTTCTCCATTGTTTTTTTAAAGCAAGAAATGCGCAAGTTATTTTTGCTAAGAAACCGCAAATGAAAATAAACAGTTTAAAGAAGCAAAAAAAAAACATTTTTACCTATTTCATACTTGATCAAACAAAGCTTACCATTGTAAATCGGGCATTGCCATCTTTGCATAGTGTCGCTTAAAATTACGCTTACAGTCCCTTTTATATAAATATTATTAAAACAGGAAGAGGAAGAGGGAGGGGTAGAGGAAGAGGGGGTTTTAAGGTAACCTTTCAAAATAAAATATTTAGTATTTGTAACAATATTATTTTGGTTTGCTGATGTGGAAAGACATTTTCTCTTTATTGAGAGGGTTTAAGCTTTTTTCCAAAAAGGCGAGAACCTTCGAGTTTTAACATTTGTGCCAAAAAATAGTGGAATGTGTAATTTTAGGAAATGTCTGCACTTGTCTTGTACTTTTCGACAAAGCAGGAATAAAAAAATGTATATTTTTTAGACAAACGATCCTCCGATGCCCAAGTACTATTCATCAGTCGAGGTAACTTTAAACTTAAAAAAAATATATATTTCCGTTAAATTATTTAGTTCATGTTGGGGATTGTTGATATTCTTGAAATCAAATCAAAGCAAATATTTATTTGTTTGAAGATTTAATTATTAGTGACAATATGATTATCACAAAATAAGATAAATCCTCATGAGGGAAAAAGAATCTGATGGGCTGTAAATAGCTTAGTTTCGTGGAGGGGGGGGGGGGGGATATCTGTACGAATATTATTTTGTAAAAAAAAATTAAAAATTAGTAAGTAAGAAGCGATCCTAATCTATTTCAATTTTCAGGAGTTCTTTGCTGGTATTACTATGCACCCGACAAGCTGGGTCACAGATCAAGCTAGACGTCATCAATGGACAATATCGGGTAAATGGGGTTTAATTTATTTTATCTGATCAGCCAATGTATACTGAGTTGTTTTTGGTTGACTTGGTTCAGCCGTTAGAGAGGCAATGCAAGTTCAACCAAATGTAAAAATTCGGGGAATATCAAGGGAAAGGGAAATCATTGATTATGGACATTTTCGGAAGGGGGGGGGGTGGATATTTACTTTATTTATTAATTAGATAAAATCGATATCAGGTAAAATGAGTTACATCGGGTTAACGTGGTTCAGTTGTTAGAGAGGCAAAATGCCTAAATTCGGGGAATATCAAGCGATAGGAAAATTATTTATTAATAGACATTTTTGAGGTGAGAGGGGGGGGGGCTAGTTTTAGATATTATATTATTAATTAGATTTTAAGAAAGCTTAAAATATTCTAGGGAAAGAAGGAACAGAGGGTATCAAGTACAAGTTTTTGCTTGATATCGGAGATATCAATGCGGTTGGAGTTTCGAAAAAGAAAAAGGAAGCCAAGGGCTTTGCTTACAGGTTAGCAAACAAAAATGTACCAATTCTGATGACAAAATCTTTTAAATTTAAAAGAAAATTCTGCCATAAGTTGCAAATTATTCAAATTGTTTACATTTATCAATGTGAAATCTTGTTACGTCAATTTTTATTCAAGACTGACCCTGGCGTTTCCCGAAATTGTTAATGTTAAGGTTGATGTCCGTGAAAATTGCTGAAAAGTTAGGAATGGTTCCCAAGCTGCCTGACGATATTGGTAGGTTTTCTATTAAATATATTTTAATTTATGTTTGTATTTTTTGAAAAAAAACCTTAGCTGTAAAATGGCAATCATGACACTTTTCTTATTTTACTCTATACATTTTTTGTTTCTGAGATAAAAATACTGAGGATTGTTTTTACTAGCTGAAATTGTCAACCCTGAATCTGCTCCCCCACCTCCTCCTCCTGTAACAGAAGTTGTAGCTAAAGGTAAAAAATAAGGGTATAAATTTTCGTTCAAAATCCCCCCACCCTTTTTTATTATTAATCTCCTTTTTTGTGTTGATTTTCAACAATATTAATCCCTATGTATTATAGCACCTGTAAGCTTTGACGCATCTGCGCCCGTAACAGTCGTGCCTCAGCTTCCTCTTCAGCCACAAGTTATACCAGAGGTTTGGGGTTATTTACTCTTTCACTGATGGTTTAATTGATTTAATGGTTGATTATTGACTCTTTGATTGACATGATGATTGTTAAATCAAATTTATTCATTGATTGATTCATTCATTCATTGATTGATTGATTCACTCATTGATTGATTGATTGATTGATTGATTCATTCATTGATTGATTCATTCATTGATTGATTCATTCGTTGATAGATTGATCAACTGATTTACTGGTTGATTGATTGACTGATTGATAGATTAATAATTTGTTGATTGATTTACAAGTGATTAATTGGGTATTTTTTCCTGAAAAAATGTCCAGTTTTATTTCGCTGAGTTGGGAAAAATAAATGATATTTAGGTGGAATTAAATGAACTTTTGGGTGTAAAAAGTATGAAACGGGATGAAAAAACTTACCTTTTCTTACTTGTCCAACCTTTAATTTTGTTCACAGATCTTTAAAATTATGGGGGGGGATTCTTTGAAATATACGCCCTTGCTTGTTTGTCAAATTTGTTTATTTTAATTGACTGATCTAACATCTGATTTAATATTTGATTTAATGAATAGAAAATTTAAACATTTTATTTAATTTTTGATCTGTTTATTGAATATATGATAAATTTGATTAAAATTTCGTTGATTAATTGAAAATTTTATTTATCTATTGAATATTTTAATAATTGAAGAGCTTTATGTGCAGAATATCCCTGTATTAAACGATGAGGAGATCAGTGCATTCCCCGGACACCCGATAATTCTTCTTACAGAAGAATTAAAGTAAGTTTACATTATTTGAAGGCTGCAGTGTGCAGTGTACTCAATGAATAATAGGCATGGGACGTAGGTTTGCGGAGGGGGGGATAGATAAAACTCCTAAATTGATTTGGTGGCCGCAGCGCCGGCCCCCTAGCTTGTCCTAGCCGCGGCGCTCGGCCCCCTAGCCTGTGCTAGCCGCCACGCTCGGCCCCCTAGCCCATCCTAGCCGCAGCGCTCGGCCCAGAAATTGTCTTAACCTAACCTAACCATCAAAATAGGAGTTTTATCTATCCCCCCCTTCCGCCAACCTACGTCCCATGCCTGAATAATAGAATATGGATCCAACTCAATAAAGCAAGACATTTGCACATCACTTAAAGCGACACTAGGCAGAGACTAATTCATTTTGATTTTTAAATGACCTAGGATCTATGTGTTAAATTGGGTTATGTTAATTTGAAAACTTAAGCGCTTATCGTAAATTAATGTTGGAACCTTTTGAACAAAAGTCATGTATGCACGGCTTGGCGCTTAAATTAGATGTCCGAGAAGAATTTTTTAAGACTGGCGGAGTTTCGACTGTGTGTATTGGCTTTAAAAGGAGCCAACCGATTCGGAATTTTTTATTTCTTTGGGCAGGTCGTTCCATTGTTAAACTACACGATTAGAGTAAAATCTTCTTCTCAACTCTGTATTGGATAGTTTACTTTTAATGTTTAAGGGATTCACAGAAGCGGTGTTACTCTCCTCTGTCTTCTACAAACTCGAACCAAACTCTTCTGTCAACCCTATCAATCTCATGTACAATTTAAAGTCTGGAACACGTCAAACTGAATCTGCGTGTTCTTTCAACCTGTCTTTATAATTATTGCTATTTAGTCCAGAGATCATGATAACAGCTTTTCTATCACTTCTTGATCCTGTTGAAGCCATGGATTCCATGCTAGTTTTGAAAATTCAATATGGGGTCTAACATAAGTTGTGTCAAGGTTTATAAAGATTTTTCTGTCTCTGTAATGAAAGAAGTGTGAAATTTGGGTCAAAACACCATTTGCCTTTCTGGCTGCTTCCTTACATTGGAGGGAGGGCTTAAGGGATTTATTGATTATAAAATCAATCTGAAGAAAATACAATCAATCTTGATAATTTATTTTGAATTTAAAGGAACTGAAAGGGTAATATCAATTGACCTTCCATTTATAAGAACAACCCTTTAAATTTTTGCTTCATCAATGATTTCGTAGATATTCTTATTTATATAACAGGAAATTAAGTACCAAGAAACCGCGCGAGTGTATACTAGTAGGGAGAGTACAGTGTACACCTTGAGTCTCCCGGCACTCAATCTTCAGCAGTACTAATGAGGGTATTTACCTCATCGTTGTCCAGACGAAGGTTTGAAGTTTACCGTTGTGAATCGGATATTTAACATGCCTGTTCATAAATGAAAGGTCACTTGAAATTACGCTTACAGTCCCTGTTAATCAGTTCTACACCATCTTTAACCTTTCTAAACTATCCCCTCAAAAATTGTGTTTAAGACGGCGTGGTTTGGGAGCTCCTATATTCTCCTGTGTGAACGAGGAGAGGGTGAAGATGAAGGGACACGGAAACTTCGGCAAAACTAACTATACTATGAAGGTGATCAAAGATTTTGTATTTTAATGCTTTACTTTACAGGGATATATATTTTCTTGATAAATTATCCCTCCTCTTCGAAAATATTTAAGGGTTGTATTAGCTGTGTTGGGAAAAATAGAACCGTCAAATTTTAATTTTAATTTTCCCCAGATAATCAATAATTATGCATTTTAACTCCAGGCATTTATGTATTTATGCCCTTATCCATAATTCTTGCTGATTTTTAAAAGTTTTTTCTCTCGTTTTTCTTTTATTGGATGTATAATCATCAAGTTCGCTATCATAGCTAAAATATATAGGGCGACCAAGCCACTTTGTAAATTCATAAATCCATAATGTTTGCTGATTTATAAAAAGTTTTATCTCTCGTTCTTCTTTCATGGAATATCTAATAATCACGTTTGTTATCTTATCTGAAAATATAGAGGGTGATCAAGCCACTTTATAATTTTATAATTTTATAAATGTATAAGTTTCTGTTTCTTTCATAAAGTATTTGAGAAGAAAAAAAAAAAAAAAAATTTTAAAAAATTATTTTCCCACATTTAAAAACCATACTTAATTTTACATAATCAATAGTGCTTCCATTACTTGTAAAAAATAAAGATTCCGTAATTTCGGTTGGGAAAAATAGAACCGTCAAATTTTAATTTTAATTTTCCCCAGATAATCAATAATTATGCATTTTAACTCCAGGCATTTATGTATTTATGCCCTAATCCATAATTATTGCTGATTTTTTAAAGTTTTTTCTCTCGTTTTTCTTTTATTGGATATATAATCATCAAGTTCGCTAAAATATACAGGGCGACCAAGCCACTTTGTAAATTCATAAATCCATAATTTTTACTGATTTATTAAAAGTTTTATCTCTCGTTCTTCTTTCATGGAATATCTAATAATCACGTTTGTTATCTTATCTGAAAATATAGAGGGTGAACAAGTCACTCTATAATTATATAAATGTATAAGTTTCTGTTTGTTTCATAAAGTATTTGAGAAGAAGAATAAAGAAAAAATAAAAAATAAATTATTCTCCCCCGTATAAACCATACTTAATTTTACATAATCATTAGTGCTTCCATTACTTGTAAAAAATAAAGATTCCGTAATTTCGGAAAATGAAAATTGACATCGTCAAAGATCATGAGTAAAAATTGATATGTCTGTTAATATATGGTGGCTTCCATTTCTGTCATAGCAACGACGCTCAGCCCTAAATTGTACTTACTCTAAGCTTTCAATTCATGACGATTAATTAAAATTAAATTAATATTCTTTACAGGTTTTGAAGTTCTTTTATCAGATATATGCAAATAGTTTATTACTATCAAATCAAATCAAGTCAGGCTGTTAGGGAAGTCCTAATATCCATGATTCAATCTCTAGATGACAAACTGTTATATAACACCTATTTAATGATTGATATTTTTAGGCTAAAGTTCGGTTTGAGGACGAAACATATTCATATTTTGGAATTGCAATGAATAAAAAGACTGCAAAGGCAGGATGATTAAGTAGTTAAGGTTTGGCCCTGTTTTTATGCTTTTATTGAAAATGTTGTTGTATGATGGTGTGTTGGTTCCTTTGCTATTTGGCTCGTTGATTGGATTTAAAAGTTAGGTGGTACATTAATTTATTTTAAAATTCAGCTATCGATATGGTTTCAGTTGGTTCATTAGTTAGTTGTTAGTTCTGGTTGGGATTGATTGATTGATTGAGAGATTTAGAGATTGATTAAGATAGACAATTGGTTTGACTTGTTCATCTTACGGGATGGATTTTTAATAATTAAGTGTGTTATGATTTGGGTATCAGTTTTCAATTGTTCAATAATTAAATTTGTTATCTTATTTAATTATCCTTAAAACAGCTCCAGTCTGCTGCATTTGCATATCTTGGTTTGATGAAAATGAAAATAGAAGATTTATCCCTAAATCCGCCCTCAGATCCTCTTCTCAAGGTAATGAACACGTGACACTGATACATCATCAATTAAAAATTTATTTAAGATTAAATTTTAGTTAATATTTTGCCACTCTTGAGATTTGTCCTGCCATTTCAGTACAGTACAGTACAGTACAGTACTGTACTGTACCGTACTTGAGATTTGTCCTCCCATTTCAGAAGTTCGACAAAATTTCGGCAGGTTATTTTTGGCGTGGAAATCAATGTTGATTCGGCTGAAAAATAAAAAGTTATATTTTTATCCGAAATTACCCGAAGGGGCAGTCAACAAAGAAAGAAGTTAGAGAATGAAGGAGGAAAAAAAGATGACAAGAATAATAAAGATAGAATTTTAAACATTAAATTTTAAAAAAAGTTTTAAAATTATTATTTAGGATGGAAACCTTGCAGTTCAGATATCATCAAGTATGGCTGCTACTGGAGCCCTCGTCTCCGGTACTGCTCCGATAGTCTCCGTGTTTATAGATAAACCTGTTCCTGTCGCGTCTGCGGCTCAACCTGTAGCTCAGACCTCAAATTCCCCGGCAAATGGTTCAACTTTACAATCTGCTAAACCTATACCTGTGGTCTCTAAACCTGCCATCATAGGTTAGTAATTCATGCCTTTAACGACATATACTGATTTTCTGAACAAAAGATTAAAAAAAAAAATCCCCTTTTTTATGCAACATTCAGAAATCAGGAATATTTTATTATTCTTTAATTTTTACAATTGAAATTTTTGTATTGAGAGTCGCAAGTTTTTATTTGGGTTTTTGTTGATATTTTTCCCCTTGGATCCGGATTTGTAGATCCGCATATTTTTCTAGATCCGGATCCAGTAAGCCAAAATGTTACGAATCCAACGGAACCGGATTCTAGGCACTTGACTTTTTCGGTCCCTGTCTAGTGAACTCGTTATGTTTCTTCCGTTTCCTGGAGGAATCAATTTAAATTTGTTCAAGGGGGGAAGAGATTTCTTTACCCTTGAAGTAAAGGATAAAAATTGTTAACGGGCTCAGTATTAATTAACTCTAATATTAAATCAAATTATTTACTAGTCCTTAGCAATTTTTATAAAACTCAAGTAAATATTAAGTAAAAAAAAGAATACAAGTATAAAATGAAAGATGTTAAGCTGTATTATTTCTAGGTGGTGTTTTGAACAAACCTGACTCTACCGGAACAATGGTGCAGGTTAATACGATTAAACAATAAAACCTTAAATAAAAAACTTATTAAATTAATGAAATGATGTTGTCTTTTCATCTATATTCTTGTCTAGTTAACCGGTTAACTCGATGAACATCGACCAACTCCAGTTCTTTGTCGTTTGTCGATAACACTTCTTCTCTAATTGGCATATTTATTGATCTATGTCTCTATGATTAAATTATTATTAAACTATAAATTTTTTCAACATACAGGGTTACCTATACTCACATATGATGAGACTTTAAATGAATATAATAAGGATCAAGGGATCAACTGAGAATTCTACTTTAAAAGTAGTCTTTAAATAATATAAAAAAATTATTTTGCGCTAAGTCAACAAGTTAATGGTAGCATTCCTGATGGATTAGTTTAATAAGAAGGCTTCTGGCTCATGCAGTATTTACTGCACAAATGTCTCTGAACTTGTGGATCACACTGTACTAACTCAATTTCTCTTTGATTTTGACTTATTGACGGCAGTGTGTACTTTATATTGCTGTTGAAAAAAAAGACAGTGCATTTTTTTATGTTGTTGTTAAACTTGGGTAGAACTTTTTTTGGAGCCTGTAGCTCTGCACTGTTAAGCGGGGTTTTTGACTTGTGTTTACACTTCACTTAGACCCCAACTATTTTATACATTTCTTTAGATCCCAGTTGTAGCAGTGCAACCACAAATGAAACCCGTAGAGGACGCAAAGAAGAAGGAAGAAGTTGTTGAGAATCAGAAAGTTGAGAAAGTTGAAAAAGTTGAGAAAGTTGAGAAGCATGATGACTCTTTTGATGATACTTCCCTGGAGTTCTCTGCTCTTCTTGGGAAACCAGATTCAGGGGAGAAATCCAGGAAGAGAAGCAGGAGCCGTAGCAGGAGTCGTAGCAGGAGTCGTAGCAGGAGTCGTAGCAGGAGTAAGGGGAGGAAAAGAAGCAAAAGCAGGAAGAGAAGCAGGAGCAGGAGCAGGAGAAGAAGCAGGAGTTCCAGCAGCAGGAGCAGAAGTAGGAGCAGGAGCCGAGGAAAGAGGAGGAGCTCCAACAAGCATTCAAAATCATACAGGTGGAAATTAAAAACTTTATTTAGAATTCTGTCTTTTTATTTTATTTTATTATAGGGATCGCAGTTCTAGCCGAGAAAGGCACCGAGGTTATAGAAGATAAGGCTTTTGAGAAACATATTTGACTGCACCGTATATGCACCTGTAACACTATCACCAATCGTACATTTTATATAGGAAAAGTTTAAACCTAAGCAAAGTAGTGCAAGGGCATTTCTAAATATTTCAAGCATTTTTCTCCACATTGCAATTGAAGATTTCAATTTAAATGTGAATATTTTCCGTGTGAAAATGTCTTATTTAATGTCAGTAACCTTTGTGTGGTTATTTATTTCTACGTCAACATTGCATTGACTTCTTAAGAATGTTTGTTTACTTTATTTGTAAATGACGTCCTAACAACGTTGCAATAAGGTCCTACTGACATTACTATTTGTTTTGTTTCAGAAAAATGCGGGAATAGTTAAAATAAAAATGGGAGCTTCCGCTTCTTCTCTTCTTGAGATCCAGGTAGTTAATAAGTATTAAGAATTTAATTTAACACGTCATTGGAAGATTCAAAAATGATATGAAGAGCTTTTTTATTTACACTTCATCTGCAGTTTTTAGAAGAAGACTGGTTCTATGCTTGTGTAAAAAATGAGTTTGTCCAAAACCTCTAAGAAAGTAATTTAGATTTCATGAAAATAGTTCGAATCGACTCTCAGTTACTAGGTAGCCCTGATTGGGGGATGGGTTAGTTATTGATGGAAATGTCTTAAATATGCCAGTTAAAGACAAATTTTTTAATATCCGCTCTCATAGAAAATTATATACTTCTCTTTCCACTTGAATTAATTGATTGGTAGGCTCCGGAGGAAGAATATGAGAGCAGGAGAATTGTGAGTTCTGAAGAATATCTCATTGGATTGATTGATTGATTAGTAGAATCTGGAGGAAGAATATGAGAGCAAGAGAACTGTGAGTTCTGAAGAATATCTCAATGAATTGATTGATTGATTAGCAGAATCTGGAGGACGAATAAGAGAGCAGGAGAACTGAGTTCTGAAGAATATCTCGATGGATTGATTGATTGATTAGTAGATTCTGGAGGAAAAATAAGAGAGCAGGAGAAGTTTAACTATTGAAGAATATCTCAATGGATTGATTGATTGATTGATTTTAGGATCTGGAGGAAGAATTTGAGAACAGAAGAAGTGTGACTGCTGAAGAGTATTTCAATCACTCGACCAACAGAGTTAAACCTGGAGATAATAAACTCACATCCGTTCCACCTGAACTATGCAACAAGGAACCAGAAAAAACAAAGACAACTAACTCGGCAAATATTTTTATTAATTACTCGTCCAATAGAACAAAAGCAGCATATTTTTAGGGTTAAATATGTTGAGCGAAATCATTACGATTCAGAAGTCATCTTGTTTTTTTTCGTGTTTTTTTGTGTGAAAATTTAAGGAACAAGCTACTGGGTAATAAAAATAAGATCTACGACTTAAAATTAGTTTATATTGTTATAAATGCAAAAAATCAAGCTAATTAAACAGGTGATTTATTGTTTAACTACTTCATTACAACTTTATTCAATACAAAATAAATCAATAACAGTATTCTCATTTGTAGAATCATAGAGAGAAAAAATTGTCTCATTCTATCTTAGTACCTATTGCTGTAATGAGTTGCTTTTTGCAGAGCTCTCCATTGATTAAGGTTTAATCAAAGACTTTATCCAAAAATTTGGTAAGGGTAGTTGCAGACTTTTATCTTTAAATTAAAATTGTGAACATGAACTGCAATATGTTATAAAATATTTTATATTATATATTGCAAACGTCGTTGCAATTGAAGGACTTTTCATCTATATGAATATAAGAGAAATTAAAGCAACAAAAAAGGACATAAAAAACTAGAAAATCTGAAAACCGGAAAACTGGAAAATGACTTTTCATCTCATTTTTAGGAAAAAAAAATACAAAATAAATCAAAGAAAAAACATCCAAATAGAGACTTTTCGTCCAGGAATCAGATAGAATTTCTTTATGGTATCAGTAAATTTTTAAAGAAAACCAATCAAAAGAAGAAGAAGAATTTATTGTTTAACTTACTGTTACATTTTTTTCAAATAACGATTTCTGGTTTGGTCCTGTAGGTCCGTTTGTTGAGATCTGTAGATCTTAGTTTTAATAATATTGTTGAAATACCAGTCGGACTTCCTCTAACCTTGCCACACCTTCAACACCTGAATATTAGTCATAATCAGCTGACTTTTCTTCCAGACTCTATATTCGGCTTTATTCATCTTCAGGCATAGTTTAAACAAAGATAAATGGGTATTCATGTTTAGATTACGTTAAGGACACCTAGTGGAGTACATAAAAGAATTTCCGAATTTTCATTATATTAAGTATTCATAATGAATACCCAGAAAAAGATTAAACTTTTTTCTTTCTTCTGGACCTTGCAGTTATCTTTTTTAACAAAAAACGTTTTTTTTGTGTGCATTTGAGTAATTTACTACTACTAAAGAAAGACAGGGACTCTGAAATGGGAAATGAGACATTAAGACATACATTAAAAAAAATGTTGTTTAGTCATTTTAAAACTGATTGATTGATTGATTGAACTGTGTTGTACCAGAGTTTGGATTTAAGTTACAATCATATATCAAGTTTACCTCAATCCTTCACTTCTCTACTCCAGCTCAACAAACTAGATCTTTCCCATAATTTGCTCAGGAAACCAAATTAATAATATTTTAATATTTTTATGAGAATTAACTAAAGGGAGTCTTGGTGAAGGAATTTTTGACTAAATCAGAATAGAACTCGAGATCGATCTCTAGGAATTTTTTTTTACATAATGTTTTGTAATGAGAAAATAAGGGTGTTTATTTTTCTGTTGCTCATTTTTTCATTGGGTTTGGGGGAAAAATTAAGAAAAAGGGGGAAGGGAAGGTTAGGGTAAAAGGAAAAGGAGTAGAGGGAAGGGAAAAGGAGAAGAGAGAAAAGGAAAGGGGGAAAAATGATTTGCATCTTAACAAAAAAAATTTAACAAAAGATAGTATTAGAAATTCTTTTTAAAAAATCTAAGGGGAGACCTTGAAGTAGACCTTTCTAGGGCACCAAAACGCTCCATTATATGTTACTAAAATTCAAAAATTTCCAAAAAATTATACTCGGGCTTCAGAAACATGTAAAATACACTTTTTTTAAGTCGTGGATTTGGGAAAAAGATATGATTCGGGGGGGGGGGGAATATGAGTCTTAGAACTAATATACACCCCTGTGAGAAATTTGTCTTCAACTTTCGTTGCTTACCGAGGATAAGTACATAAAAGAATTTCCGAATTTTCATAATATTAAATATTCATAATGAATACCCAGAAAAAGATTAAACTTTTTTCTTTCTTCTGGACCTTGCAGTTATCTTTTTTAACAAAAAACGTTTTTTTTGTGTGCATTTGAGTAATTTACTACTACTAAAGAAAGACAGGGACTCTGAAATGGGAAATGAGACATTAAGACAAACATTCAAAAAACATTACACTGACTGATAGATTGATTGATTATTGATTAAACTGTGTTGTACCAGAGTTTGGATTTAAGTTACAATCATATATCAAGTTTACCTCAATCTTTCACTTCTCTACACCAGCTCAACAAACTAGATCTTTCTCATAATTTGCTCAGGAAACCAAATGAATAATATTTAAATATTTTATGAGAATTAACTTAAAGGGAGTGTTGGTGAAAAGGGAAGGAATTTTTGACTAAATCAGCATAGAACTCGAAATTGGTCTCTAGGAATTTTTTTTTACATAATGTTTGTAATGAGAAAATAGGGGGTGTTTATTTTTCTGTTGCTCCTTTTTTCATTGGGTTTGGGGGAAAAATTAAGAAAAAGGGGGAAGAGAAGGTTAGGGTAAAAGGAAAAGGGGGTAGAGGGAAGGGAAAAGGAGAAGAGAGAAAAGGAAAGGGCGAAAAATGATTTGCATCTTAACAAAAAAAATTTAATAAAAGATAGTATTAAAAATTCTTTTTAAAAAATCTAAGGGGAGACCTTGAAGTAGACCTTTCAAGGGCACCAAAACGCTCCATTAGACAAACTTGGTAATTAATCGTATTTATTGATCTATCTAGGCAACCTAGACAAACTTAGGTAATTAATCGTATCTATTGATATATCTAGGCACCCTAGACAAACTTAGGTAAGTTAGCTTATCGATGATCTATCTAGGCAACCTTGACAAACTTGGTAATTAATCGTATTTATTGATCTATCTAGGCAACCTAGACAAACTTAGGTAATTTATCGTAACTATTGATATATCTAGGCAACCTAGACAAACTTAGGTAAGTTAGCTTATCGATGATCTATCTAGGCAACCTTGACAAACTTGGTAATAAATCGTATTTATTGATCTATCTAGGCAACCTAGACAAACTTGGGTAATTTAGCTTATCTATTTATATATCTAAACCTAGAATAACTTATGTAGTTAGCTTATCTAATTAAGTAATGAAGTATTGATCTATCTAAACAACCTAGACAAACTCAGGTAATTAAGCTTCTTTATGTCTATTGATTAGGCAACCTAGACAAACTTGGGTTTTCCAGATTTTTTACCTCTTCTAAGGTAACCTAGGCAATTCAAGGTAATCATTATTACCCACCTTTCAATGCAAGTAAGCCTACCTATTAACGCAATCTAAACAATCTTTAGTAATTTAGACGGCTTGTCCATTTGCTCTTAGAAACATTCATATCTTTTGTTCAGTGTATTGTTGGTAGGGCGGAATAAGTTTACTCCCGAGTTCCGGGTACTCTCAGAGACTGAGGGTTCGGAGAAACTAATCCTTCATTTACGATCCTGTTTTTTTAAATCACAAGAGGGGGATCTTCCTTCTCAATGCAATATTTTCAGGTTAATACTAAATATAATATTTTTTCTTTAAACTGATAAAAATTTGAATGCAGGGATCACTAGAAATAAGCTTAATAGAAGCTGTCTTTGGCAGATATTTTTATTCAGAAACGTCATTCATCCTTTCATTGTTTGTTTGTTTGTAAGTTTGGGTGTTTGTTTGTTTGTTTGCTTTGAATACGACTTTCACTCAACTTTATTATAGTTTTTTGAACTTCGAATAGGAAAGGAAACGGAAAGATTTATTCATTATCTGTCACTTTTTACCAATAAAATCAAAATATTTAACTTTTAGTATAATTTTTACAATTTATATTGTTTAAACTAACCCTTGGTATATCTAGACGAGAGCGTGGACCAGTATTTGATTCTAAAATCTTGAACTCTGGGTCAGCTCAGTCATTCTTCAATCAGATTCAAACTCAGGTATTTTTGCTTGGATTTTACTTCACTTCAACTTAACGTTTTTATAAATTAATAATAATATCATATTAATCAAATTTTAAGGTTTATTATTTTTAAATCATTAATGATTTTAAGGAATTTTCCCCGTTTTCTTTCATTATACCAAATTAAAATCATATTTGTAAATCTTTAAGTATCAATAATTTTACTTTGTTCAAGTTAGATAAATTTAAAAAATTCATTTAAAATCCAATTTAAATCTTTTTTTTTCCCAATAAAGTTTAATAAAAACTTTTTCAACAAAAACTCGACACCACTTGTGTAAAATAAAAACATTATATTTTAAGATAGATTTCAAGTTGCCCTCCAGTTGTATAGTGGAATGTCGGATTCCCTATGGTACCCTTATTAGCTTTTTCTGATCAAGAATGAATGAGACATCTTCGGTTTAACCTAAATTGAATGTTTCTTTAAAAAAAGCGACTTGCAGATCTTTGCTGTGGAAACTGTTCAGGAAATTGTCGGAAGAAAATCCTTTTCAAGCTAGAAAGCTAGAAAATTGACGATATCTGCTAGATTGTTGATCAGATGAAGTATTAATGGGTACCCTTGGGAATCAGGCACACCCTTCTTTTTAAATAAAGGTTTACATTAAATAACGATGCTAATCCTTGTAAGGCCGTGAATACTGGAAACCGTCTGTTGACACCTCTGATCCCTCCGCCCCAGGCCACCACCCTGGACTCCGAGGCTATCAAGGACAAGCTCCTGGGCATGTTCTACGGCTCTGTGGTAGGGGACTGTATGGGCGTGTTCACTCAGTCCTTCACCCCAACCCAGGCAGAGTTCCACTACCAGAGGGACTTCTTCATTAAGAACAAGCTCTATGTGGACGAGTACCGTTGCCACTTCAGCCGGGGGAGTGTGACGCTTGCCAGCCAGGTGGTGGGTGCAGTCCTTGACTCTGTGATGGGGTGGGGAGGTGTGGTCGATGAACTTGACTATGCCAAAAAATTACATGAATTGATAAAATCCTACGGGAAACCTCTCACCAGTTCTGTCATGCAGGGGTTGGCGGCAAAGGTAAACATATAAAGATTTTAAGATATTTTATATATTTTTTGGGAATATGAAGAAATGTTTTTTTCTATTTTTTAAGAATTTTCTCATTCTTTGTCATCTAATGAAAAAAAAATATTAAAATTCTCCCAGACAAGACGAAGAATAAATATAAGTTTTTATTTAAAAAGGTGTAATTTTTCGTATGATAATCATAAAAGTTTCAATTTCCAATAATAATCCCAAATCGTGATTTTTAATTTCAGTCCAATTTTTTCGTTGATTCCTAATCGAAATGCTGTCAGACAAAAACAAAAATAGCAAACATGTACTTTTAATTTAAAACGGGCGAAATTTTTCAAAATAATAATAAAAGTTCTATTTGTAATTTCAGTCTAAATTCATTGTTGATCCTACAGCTGCTGCTCGAGAATGGATGGAGCAAACTGATACTGCCACGGAACAAGTAGGTCAGGAATAGTCTTTTAGTCAAAGTTGTTACTTAATATATAAAGTAGTGATCTATTTTTGTTTGTTTGTGTGGCCGATCATAACTTTGGAACCATTTGACTGATTTGCCTGAAATTTTGACTGAGGAACAAGTTAAAATTCTAAATTGAGTCGATTGACTTTTGTTGTGAAAATGTCGGCCAAATCTGTGTTCCCAAGCAAGTAAAATATATTTTTTTGGAAATAAAAACAAAAAATATTAGAAAAAAGCTAGCGAATTCATTTCTTCTTTTCAAAGCTTTGAAAATCAGGAAGCTTAGAAAATGTTATTATTATTTTTAAATTACTTCAATAACGCTCTCGCTCCATGAATGATGCCTTTTAAAACCATGCTTACTTGTATAATTTTGAAATTTCTTAAATTGCTGCTAATATAACACTGTTATTTTATTTTATTAATCTTTGCTGATACAGTTAATTGTTGGGTTCGTCTGCGCATTTATTAAAAACAGAAAATCAAAAATGTACATATTTTGATATATATATAAAGTTTATTTTTATTTGTACTTTTTTTGAATAATAATAATTTTTAACTTACTTCATTTTATTAAATCACAAGATTATGCCTTGGGCGTCCTCGTTCAATTAAGTATTTAATATTTATTCATTGGAAGCAAAAATGCCTTGACAACTCGACCTTTTTTGTAGAATCTAAATTATCTAAAGAAATCATCAGAGAAAAAAAATTTAAATTACAAATGTCTTGAAATCAGTTGAATTATTTAAGTTTTGAATATTATTCTTTAAGTTTGTGATAGTTTCTGTCTGCCTCCAATGTTAGGACTGGTTGTGTCACAATTTCATGATCTAAGGGTGAGAAACTTATTAAAAAAGTAATACATGGGTGAGAAACTTATTAAAAAAGTAATACATATATTTTATTGAAAAATAAAAATGGCGCGTTTTTAGGAGATAGAACGCAACGCGACAAGAATATGTAAATCCACGCACGCAGCGCCAGATAATGTGACAGCAGCCATTTTGCTGGCACAATGTCTTGCCAAACTTATCCAGGTATTGATATCTCAACACTAGTTTAAAATACAAGAGTCATTTAACATGATGGGGCTTATGTTTTTCTTCTGAAAAAAAATTGCGGTATCGTACTTTGGTGAAAGTCCCCTGAGTTAGGGGGGGAACTACATTAGGGTGCCGGATTGACTGGGTTCCGATGATGGTGATCTGAGGATTCCACATTGGTGATCTGCCACTATCATTTCTTAAATTAACAATAATTAAATTCTATAAATTACCACCATTTATAAAGAAATTTCCAATCAGTTTTCTTACGTACAAAAATTTTTTAAATATAATTCCACAAAAAAAAGATCCTTTTCAAATATTGGGTATAACAAAACTATGTTTTGAATGCGGTGATGATAACTGTGAAAACAAAATAATTATAAAAATCAGCCAACAATTCTTAATTTAAAAAAATTCTATTTCAATACTAATTACGATTAGATTTTATGTCTCCTGATTTTAGGGTTTACCCCTGGACACTGCTCTAGAGGAAATAGAAACCAAGCTGACCGGCTTAAAACCTGGCGACGAAGAGAAGAATAATAATATTATTCAGATGTCTCATCCTCTCACCACACTGAAACATCTGACAGGAATATTCAAACATAATATCAAAAAAAATTCTGAAAAACATTTTATTTTTTTCCACCTTTTGAAAATAATTTATTAGGGTTATATTCGCTAAATTGGAGATAATTTATGATGATATTTAGAGGGAAAATTATCAAAAAAAATGATAAAACTTGCATATCTGACTGAAAGTAGTGTGTGTACTGTGTATTGTGTTCACAGGATATTGCACTAAATACTATTTCTATCTACTGGGTTATGTGTTTTACAGTTATATCTTTGATGCTATATCGATATGACTAAAGACCCATTGAACTGAAGTACAAATGCTCTAAAGTCAGATGTTCACAAGCCAGTTTTTAGTCTGTTTGAACAGTTGTACAAAATATAAATAAACAAAAAAATTAAATATTTTCCAATTAACTTGTTTAAACATGGGGATCATCATTTAAGAGATCTATGGCCGGCAGCGCTCGGCCCAGATATATTCCTAACCTAACCCTCAAATTTTATGTGAAAAACGCTTAACATGAAAGGAGGTAATTTAAAAAAAAAAATGGAAAAATAGTTCAATTGGACGTATAATTTTCAAAAGGACTTAGTCCTTTTAAACCTTAGTTCAAATAAACATTTGTCCAATTGATATATGACACCAAATTTTTACAAATTTATTCTGAATCAAGTTTGCATTGTTTCTTTGTTCCTTTGATATTTTATGTATATTATGGATATTTGTACAGAGTGTGTACGTGTATACAAGAATAAGGGATTTAAAGCAGCAGTGATTGTTAACTTGTTTAAAGGTAATTTTTCATTCACATCAGATTAATGACTACTTAGATTTATTTAGATTTATTGACAAGGTTTTTTACGCAGTTGTTTTGAAATTATGGTCTGTCTTCTACAGAAGATGTTGAATGATAATAGTAATGATAATAAAACTAAAGCAAAATATAAGCTAATGGATATTAAATGTTAAGGCGATACAAAAAAAAATTTTAAGATGTTCAAAATTTTATGTTACAAGGGGGAGAGGCAAGTGTAGGAAGTCTTGTAGTTGGAGCAGTTCTTGGTCTTGATACAGGATATGCAAATCTTCCATCAGATTGGCTGGAGGTCATTGACCCAGATTTTAGGTAGGTGGGAGGTCATAAATCTAGAAGTTAGGTAGGTTAGAGGTCATTAATCCAGAGTTTAGGTAGGTTAGAGGTCATTAATCCAGAGTTTAGGTAGGTTAGTGGTCATTAATCCATATTTCAGGTAGGTTAGAGGTCATTAATCCAGATTTTAGGTAGGTTAGAGGTCATTAATCCAGATTTTAAGAAGGTTAGAGGTCATTAATCCAGATTTCAGGTAGATTAGAGGTCATTAAAAATAGTTTAGGTAGGTTAGAGGTCAATAATCCAGATTTTCTGTCTAGTTAGAGGTCATTAATCCAGATTTCAGATAGGTTAGAGGTCATTAATCCAGATTTTAGATAGGTAGGAGAGGTCATTGACCAAGACTTTAGATAGGTTTGAGGTCATTAACCCAGGCTTCAGTTTGGTTGGAGGTCATTAACCTAACTTTAGTTAGAGGAGAGGCTTGTGACATGGTCATCAGTCATCAGGTGGGTTGGGTGTGGTTAATTGACCGAGGCTTCAGGTAGGTTAGAGGTAATTAACTTACACTTAAAGAAGGTTGGAGGTCATTGACCAAAACTGTAGTTAGATGAGTGGTCATTGACTCAGACTTAAGGTAAGTCTAAGGTCATTGACCTAGATTTAGCTGGACAGTGCTAAGGTCATGACCATACATTTTAAGCCACTGCACTAATTTGCCTTGCTGGTTTCTAGGAGATAATTTTTTATATTTTAGGTTGATCCTAGACCGTAGACTTAATACACTCTTCGATATGATGGGCATCCCCTAGAGACAATGAAGAAGAAAATTATCAGTTATTTTATTTTATTTGTAATAATCCTTCCCATTCTGCAGATTGGGTTTTAAATATTAGTTTAGTTTTACCATGAAAAGAAATCTTGAAGTTCGCTTAAAAGACATTAAATTAATAAAATTTTATTACCATATTTTAAAAATTCATATTCATAATCTTTCTAGACCGCTTAAAAATTTAATTTTTTAGAAGCGATCTGTTATGTATATTTAATAATTATATTTTTTATATTATTTTTACCAAAAATCTTGTTAAAGTATTTTTAACATCATAAGGATGTGACCAAAAAATTGGTTTAGTGTTAAACAAAATGAAATTACACGTGGGTTGGAACTAGGTTTATATTTCTGAGGCAGATGTAAATCGTCTTCAGCAATTGAAGTGGGAAACCGGTTTCTCTCTGGCTGGGCTTTCTGTTTCTCATTCATCTTAGTAGTACCAATCAATTACAAAAATTAAACTGCTGTTCTTCTAATATCCTATTATACCTTTTACGTTTACTTTACCTTTAACAAGCCTATTCTTGTTCTTTTCAACAATATTTGTGATACAAACTTTTTACTATGTTGACTTTTTATAGTTTATTGAAAAGTTTATTAATGAGCAATGACTTAAAATTATATATAAAATATAATATAATTTTGTAATTTTGTAATTTTGTATTCTTGTAATATTATCAGATAAAATGGACGTAGAGATGACAGACGCCTCCGACGCGTTTGAGACAGATGAAGAAAAGGTTAAAACTATTTTTTTACAATTTTCATCATCATTGCTGATTTAAAAAATGTGTCTTTAAATTTGCTCCCGTTGTCTCTTAATATTTTGTAACAAAAAATTAAATCTCGAACGAAATCGCATTTTTTTGTACTGCTGTTTTCTTGTGCATTTGCAACAAGTAATCTTCTTGATGAAATCTATTTTTTGTTAATTTATTTGTTACTCAGATCATTGCTGATAGTGGTGTAGCTGCAACAGTGTCGGTATCCCTGCATCCTCTGGTTATCATGAATATATCTGAACACTGGACCAGGTGGGATAAATAGGATATCATTTTATACAAAGCATTGTATTTTTAATATCTATATATATATTAAGTAGTAATCTCTATTTGTTTGTTTGGATTTCAGAGCAAATCTCATGAAACACTCTAATTTTGATTGCGAAACTCGGTAGTGCCACGGGACTGTTGGTTTAAGTTGAGTGGGTTTACTTCTAAAAGGGAAAGCTTATTTTTTTGGGAAAGCTGGGTTTCCACACTAGTTTTTTTATGAAGTAGAAATTTCTGTCTGGGTGTTTGTTTGTTTGTTTGTTTGGATGTCTGAGCATTACTTATGAACCTCTTGACAAATTTGTCCAAATTTTTGATTGAGGGGAAGTTTGCAGAATCACGAGAATGTTCTTAACCTGGTTTGAAAATTATAAGTGGAGTGGGTTGACTTTTATGGGAAAACTTGAGGCAAAGTTGGGTTTCTAAGCTAGTCTTCATTGTCTCCTTAAGAATTCATTATCTGTTCTTGATCATTAAGTTCATGAACAGTCATGTCAGAATAATGTCACTATTGTATAGATTTAGAAGGGCTATATAGAAAGGGCTCGGTCTTGATATCACGGAATGATGCATGCTCAATGCTCATGATTGGTTATTAATATTTTTATAAATTTAAAACTTAATTTGAACTGATTTTTTTTATTTCAATTTATTTCATTTGCAATTTCAATTAATTGTATTTTATTTTATTTTTTATAAATCTAATTTGATTTTTTTATTTAATTTTATTGCTTACTTATATGGTTGTTCTAGAACCAAAGCCCAAGAGGGGAAACCTAAGCAAGTGTATGGTGCTCTTATTGGTAAAACAGTTGGACGAGATATTGAAGTGATGAACAGCTTTGAGTTGGACTACAGCACAGTGGATGGGTTGGTCAGTTCAAATTTTAAATTTTGGTTTGCTTGAAGACTCCAGAGCTCGGAACCTTTTTATAAGATGGCGCTTAACTTTTAAATGTGAAGGGAGTCAGTGCTTAAATTCGAATAAATTCCTTAATTTTTTACTTTCTCAATACCCAGTGAAGCTTTTTCGTAGTTTCAAATTGGTCAGATATTTAGAAAATCAGATTTGTGCTCTCCGAACGGATTCACATTGCAAAAGTTCGCACTCAAGAGTTCGAAAAATGCCTTCAAATTAGTGGCATTACAAATTTGTTTATACATGCATCGAATGGGTTCTTGCAACACCGTTCACCTCGGCAACAAAATAGGTTTTAAAAACGAAGACACCTGTGGCCGAATTTAAAGAATTTGAGCGGCGGTTTAAATTTAAGCCGCGGTTTAAATATGATTGGTTCCACTTAAAATTGTATCAAATGTTTGAAGATTTAAGCCGGCGGCGCTTAATTTAAACCGGGTTTTGGTGGATTTAAACCGCGGCTCAAATTCTTTAAATTCCATCTCTGATATGATTACAGAGCTCAAAATAATTTAGATTTCCTAATGAACTTCCGAAAACTTGTAAGTCTAAACTACACAACAAATTTTAAATGGAATTATCTCAAAAAAAAGGGCTCGGCAGGGATTTCTAAAATACACGCTGTTTCTAGACATGATCTTCTTTCAGAATCTGTAAAAATTTCAGGTGTCTTTGTTTTTAAAACCTACTTCATTGCTGAGGTGAAAAGTTGTAAGGTCTTTGGAAGGGCTTCTTATGATGTTTTAAAATTTTATCAACTATTTCCACATGATAATATTTTTGATTTTCTATTTACAATCTATATTCTAAATGATTTTATTGGTAAAATAAGTTGGATCATTATAAATCCTCCATCTAAAGTATATAATTTTGAAATTGAAGCTTTGAAAACTTCTAATGTCTTCATTTTTCTTGTTTCTAGGTTGTGATTGATAGAGAATATTACAATCAGAAGGAGGAACAATTTAAACAGGTGAATGAACAGTTAAAATATCAATTTGCACTGGCAATAAAAGCTGAAATCGAAACTTTTAAGCAAAATCGCTTTATACGATATCCACTGCGGTAACTTTTAGATTTGAGATATAAGTGCTTGATCCTTTTATTTTAGTTATCCCTACTGGGTTCCAACCACATGATCTCCAGCGGTTGGAACTTATGTGCGGATAATGTTAATCTGAAATGCTTTATCTCGGTATTCATAAGTTTTGCCTTTAGGAGGAATTAATTTAATCCTTCAGACGACAAAAGTTATAAATGCTTGATCCTTGGATCCAAAACACAATACTTTGGACCTCTGGTTGGAGTCTAGATTACCCGATCTTTTCCTGCGCCCTGAAAACGTTCTTTGACCCAGCTTTTTTTTAAGCTCGATCTTCCTGAGATTTGATTAATGACAAAACCATGAACTACCTTACAGAATTCATCTGAATTCGTTCTTAACAAATCTCTCTTAATCAGAATCTAAAACAAACTGTCCTGTTTGAGTGAAATTCTTACTATTCAGTTTTAACTTGAATTTAAACAAAAAATCTCAAGAAATCTGTTTTAAATTCTTAATTCTTCCTTAATTATTCTGTCTTCCTCAGAATCTGAAACAAACCGTCGTGTTTAAGTGACTTTGTTTATACTCAAATATAACCTGCATTTTAATAAAAAATCTAGAGAAATCTGTTTAAAATCTTAATTCGTTCTTAATTATTCTGCCTTCATCAGATTAAACGTTGTGTTAGACTGATTTCCTATATTATCAGTTATAACTATAACCTGCATTTGAATAAAAATTCTCAAGAAATCCTTTTAAAAATCCGATGTTAAGGTTTTCTCTGAGATGGATTTCCTGGGTTGGTATAGTACTGGAGCTGGGGAGAAACCAACCTCTGCCGAGATAGCTGTTCACCGACAAATCATGGATATCAATGAATCTCCTTTATTCCTTCAACTCTCCCCAGGTAAACCATGCATTAGATTTTATATATGCGAAAAATTTTCGTATTTATTGTTTTAAGGAAAAATAATGTAATTTTTTAATTAATGCGATTTATTGGATTCAAAATTTCAGCTTATAATATGCATTGCCTACACTACGAAAAAATTGTATGGCTAATATCATGCACGTACACACACATGCTACGCTAAGAAAACAAAGCTATTAAGACCAGGAGAAAATATTTTAAAAATCACCCCCCCCCCCAAAAAAAAAAAAAAAAAAAATTGTTAGAAATTTCCAAAGTGGCAAACATTGAGAGTTTTTTTAAATTAGTATTTTTTACTCGGAAAATAGATTTAAATGGGAACTGTCTGCAATTCTAAAAACTATTTTTTTTTATTTGAACTTTGTTGTAGGAGGAGGAAATTGTACCGAGCTGCCCTTGTACCTATTTGAATCTGTGATTGATATAGTAGAAGGCCAGGCTAGAATACTCTTCGTTAAACTACCATACACTCTTTCTACTGAGGAGGCGGAAAGAATAGGTAAATCGTCATTATTCTCAATTTATTAAAAAACATGAATAATACGTTAAGTTTTTTATAGTTTTGATTATACAGCTGATATTATTTTGATGTCGTTTTCCAGACCCAATTTTTGTTATCCCACTAAATGGTAACAAACAAAACAAATTGCATTAATTTTAATAGGGGCGGACAAAAAGTTTTATTTAGAAACTAATGATCTAATAAACAATATCAAAAACAAATTGGATGCTAAATATTTAGTACTGAACCTTTCCAAATCGATCGAAAAAATGTAAAGTTATAAAGTTGGTTTTTTTTCCTGTACGGAAACATTATCGTCGTGTTGGCCTTCCTTATGACATCTAAACTGTGTAAATATTATTGTTTCCACAATCCATAGTATCACATGCAATAGTTATTAGGGGCAGCAAAAGTAAGAAAAAAGTAGTTATTGTCTGAAAAAGTTCAAATGAACAAAAAATAGACTGAATAAACATTACTTAAAATTATATTATACAACTGACCTTGTGTAAAGTTTAATGAGTGATTTTTTTAAACAAACACAGTGAATAAAAAGAAACGTGATGTAAAACGGAGAAAACAAAATGGCTGATATTTAGGATTGGACCACGTGGCCCGTATTGTGGCGGGAAATGAGATTTCCACAAGTAGAACAGCTGACCAGCTGACGGCCCAACACTCCGCTATAAATATGCTAACGGGCAGGGTTAAACTTATTCTAGAATACATGAAGGTAAAAAAAAAGAATAAAAAACATTTCCGATTAATGTATTGGTTGATTTTTTAAAGGCTGTTGAGAGGGGCGATGTGCCGCGTAATCATGAAATACTTCGCCAAGTTCGCGCACTTTCACATCGGCTACCAGTATTGGAGTCCAGTAGGTTTCAACCAGACTTTTTTACACAGGTAAAAAAATCTTTCTGAAAATTGTTGAAATTTTACTTTTTAAAGTTTGCTTTTCTTACTTACTCCAAGGTAGATCAACGCCTAAACTAATTTTCAAAAAAATAAATTGATTTTAATTTGTCCAAGACTTCGTCAACATTTTGCTAATTGTAATTTTTACAGACTTGCAGACATAAAATTATGTTTAATTAACTAAGTAGATTGTTTTGAAGCCACACAAAAAGCTAGAATAATTAAAAATGACATTAAAAATAATGTTTATCATGGACAATAATAATTATATTAATATGATGATCTTCTGAGGAAAAAGTGTAATAATAATTATGATAATAATGATAAAAATTGTTAATGATGATAATGATGAAAATGATGATAATGATGATAATGATGATAATGATGATAATGATGATAATGATGATAATGATGATAATGATGATGATAATAATGATAATGATAGGCTAATGATGTTGCACTGATGACGTTGCTGGGAAGCGTGATGAAGTCTGCGAACAACTTGAACCAGTTTGTGAACAAGTTCAACCTGGTCTACCAGAGGCAGAGCATAGGAAGGAGGATGAGAGGACTCTTCTTCTAGATCTAGAACTTCATAAAATCCTCAACATTTAAACTTTAACTTATAAAAAATAACAGCGCACCAACAATACCAAGTTAAAATAAGAATATCCAGGGAATAATTGTTAATGATTATAAAAGGGGGAGGGGGGAAGGTTTTTTTCAGTTTCAGACATCCCAATTCCTAATGCAGTAATAAATTAGCATATCGCAAGCACTTGGAGAAAAAATTCCAACAAGTATTTGAAAATTTGGGTTTATTTTAAGGTGGAAAATTCATGCCTGTTTTATTTTAATATGATTATCCGCTTATAAAAACGGTTGTGCACTAAATACTTTTGATCAAATTTAATCTGTCCAAAGAAAACATCCACAAATACATTTTGAGGGATACAATAGAATTCATATTAAATATGAACGGTCTAAATATAACAATTGAAAAAATTCTGTTTAAATAGAAAGCTTGAACATATGAACTTCGTACATAAGTAGAAATTGTACTGTTTTAAAGTCTCTTTACTTACAGTATTTTTCAGAAAAATGGGAGACGATGATTTGGCAGAAATCCGAGCAAAAAGAATGGCAGAGCTGCAGGCTATGGTAGGATTATATACAAGATTTGAATATAATTGCTAGTCCTAATCCGGTGTCGCATCAAAAAGCGTCCGAGCGCGAGATAATGCCCGGGCTACTATTATTTTACATTTTTTTTTGCTAATTATTGAATATTTTTTTTACTGTGCGAGGGATAAAAATTAAAAATGTTTTTAATTCTTTTATATGAAGACAACATTACAGACGGAAATTTTTTACATATTATCTGCTTATGCTACATTTAATAACTTATTTATCTTTATATTAACGTTCAGCAGATGTTTATCAATAAATTATTGATTTAATATTGTGGGGAATGTGTCCATGTTAGTGCCACAATACCCAGGCATAACATTATCCCGGATTCTGTTAAATATTACAACTGGTTCAGTCAGCCAAAATGTATTTCCAACTTAACGGATTTTCGGCATTTTGATAAAATATCAAATAAGATTTAAAAAAGAATATTAAGTTTTTCCTAAGTTTGTCTAATTATTCATTTTTTGCACAACCTTAACATTTTCTTATTTTTTTATTGTGTATTAAGGAAGAATAAAAATTGAATTGATGTGAATTGAATTTATTAATTGATTAATTCTTTAAATATTTAAATTTTTTTGGCGGTGAAATATTTTTGTGATTTTATGCTTTTATATATTGAAGATGGCATATTTTTAAACTTTGATTGCATTCTTATCAGGTGTTATGTGTCAGGGTATAACTTGTGGCATTTGTTATGATATAACATAATTTTTTGGCAGAGCTAATTCTTATTTTGTGTGGCAGATTTGATGAATTTAGATTATGTTTGTGGCAGATTCTCTTCGCTTCAATTGCAATTTTGGCCGGTGTTATGTGTCAGGGTATAACTTGTGGCATTTGTAATGATATTTGTTATGATATAACATAATTTTGCGCAGCCAGATTTTAAGCTCATTTATAATTTGTGTAACAGATTTTATGCATTTAGATTATGTTTGTGGCAGATTTTCTACGCTTCATGTGCATTTGTGGCATGTGTTATTTGTCAGAGTATAACTTGTGGCATTTGTTATGAAATTTGATATGATATAACATAATTTTGTGGCAGATTTTAAGCTCATTCATAATTTGTGTGGCAGATTTTATGCATTTATGTTATGTTTGGTAGATTTTCCGATTTTCTTTTGCATGTGTGGCAGATTTTATGTGCCAAGTCATTATTTGTGACACACTCTATGGCCGATTTTTTCATGAAATATGAAAAAAAAAATCTCGATTGCTATTTTGGCTAAAAAAGGCATTTTTTCTGTTACTTTCCCCTTAATCGGCAGATTTGTCCTTTTAAAGGGACTGTAAAGGAAAAATGAAAGGGGGTATAGGCTGAAAGCTAATCACTTTAGCTCTTGATCACGGCCCATGAAAGTTTTATCTGATGTTCCTGTCTCGAGAAATTGATATAAAACTGTGTCAAATATATACGAAAATTTATATATATACATTTTTGTATAAAAGTAGTAGGTTTAAACAGATCATATTCAGCAAATAAGCAACCAATCTGAAAACGATGATATCCCAGAGAAAACTAATTGTAAATTAGGTTTACTTTTATATTTGTTATTTCTATTTTCAATAGATTTCATTCATAATATTATTTATACGTCCGTATTACTTGACCAGAAATTCCACCAATGGCAGTGCAGTAAAGTGGTCACGTGATACAGGAGGAGACACGTGACCAGTATACTACTCTGCCATTGGTGATAGTTCTGGTTACGTGATTTAAGTTTCAGATTTTCAAAATTTTACATATATGAACTTTCGTATAATTTTAACACAGTTTTATATCAATTTCTCTCAGACAGGAACATCAGATAAAACTTTCATGGGTCGCGATCAAGAGCTAAAGTAATTAGCTTTCAGCCTATACCCCCTTTCATTTTTCCTTTACTGTCCCTTTAATGGGTAGATTATTCTTCAAAATTTGCACGTTTCTGCTCAAAATTTACTGTAGTTTTCCTGATCTGAAAGTTGTAGGTCAGTTGGATCAGGTAAACTGACCCAAATTTGCTCTGGGAGGAACCCTGATTTATACATTGATTTTGAGCTTGATTGACTATTAGCCAATTGATTGATTTATTTCTGATAACAAATTGATAGTTTTGACTTATTGATTATTTCCTAATTGATTGATTAATTGTTAGAGTGGAGGAGGAGGAGGTGGGGCACAGGACCGACAGAAGCAGCAAGAGGATCGTATGAAGCAGATGGAGGAGATGAAGAATGGAATTCTATCCCAGGTTCTAGATCAACAAGCCAGGTAGGACAAATTATTTAAAGGGACCTTGGACGGAAGTGTCAAGCGACACTTCTTTTAAAAAGTGACATGTCCGATTCACAGTGATGTCCTTTAAATCTTTATCTGATTAATAACGTGGAAGGCATATTCGGTTTTCCAAGTTGAAGAGTGTTTATATCTAACAATTACCTTCATTAATTTGTTGGAATTCGTTGGTTACTTCTGAAAAGAAACTGCAATTGAAAGTAAAATCTGGGATATCACAATATACATTTTTGATCTACAAAGATGTGAAGGGTACCGTGGTTAATTAAACATGCCACGATACAAATGGAGGTTCAAGGGCGTATACAGAAATAAATCTAGAAAATTCTGTGAATTCAACTCAACTCTCTGTACTCTGTGAACTTAAAAGGGAAAATTAGGTTACAACACTGCAGTAATATATATTTTTTTTATGGTGGAGGGGGCTCCCTTAAACCTCCAATTCAAAACAGCATACTAATTTTAATGTTCTTCAATCTTCAAGTAAGATTTAAAAAGTGTGACCTCTGAGTTCTAGGGGGGGGGGCTACCCCTCCCCCTTCACAGGTCTAGGGGGAGGCACTGCCCCCGTTGACTCCCCCCTATTTACGCCCTTGTTGAGGATCTATTTTACGTTTTATTTTGAATGATAAGTTTTAAATGTTAACATATATTACAATGTGCTGTTTAAGTTAATTCCTGACTTTCCAGAATTCACTTTTATTTAAAAAGATCAACAGCTACTTATTTTAATATGCATTATGCAACTCGGAACAATAACTTTAAATACAATTTGATTGTTTTATCTAGAGCTCGTTTGAACACGTTAATGATTGCCAAGCCTGAGAAAGGACGGCAGGTAGAAGGAATGCTCTGCCAGATGGCGCAGACCGGTCAACTTGGAGGAAAACTTGGAGAGAGTGATCTTAAGGTCAATACTTGTCGAGTTCTATGTTTCTTAAGATTTAATGTTAATATTATGTCTGTATTTAGTTTGAATTGGTTTTATTTCAAAACAAAAACTGTATTTGTAAGGAAATGGACTTATGTAATCTTTCTTTTGAAAATTTTCTATTTAAATAACTTCCCAATAAATTTCAATTAAAACCTGAACAAGGTGATATGTGATTATGTGAGTTGTTGTATTTTTGTATGGATAACAAACTAAAATTAAAATATTTAAATAGTCAGAATTTGAAAACTGAAAAAGGATTTCCTTATGCATGACAACTGACGTCTGACAAGTTACAAAATTTTATTAAAACTAGCCATCTTCTAAATTAATTGTGAACATGTTCTCTTTGTGTACATCGTAAAACAAAACAAAATAATTCGCGATTTTTTAACAAAAAAAATCGTGGATTTTCAAAATTTTCAAAAATTTATTGAAGATCGAATTTTGATGGAGACAAATATTTGAAATTTTGATCATTTATAAACCTTCCCTGGGGTCCCTAGATGTCCCACAAAAAAATTGGGCCCGATCGCTTCAGCTTTTTTGACGTTGATTGGATACAGACAGACAAACAAACAGACAGACAAACCAAATTTTTATATAGACAGATTCCGATCTTATCTTTTTATAAGTACTTATTTTTTCAGGATTTGTTGGAGAGGTTTAACAGTGATAAACCTGCTTCTAAAGTTAAGTTTGATAGAAGACGTGCAGCCCTTGACAGTGATGAGGATTAATCAGTTTAAATAACAATTGATCAACAAATTAATATCTTTTACAAATATTTTGGAAAAGTGGAAAGTAACCAAAATATCTTAATTATTTTTAACATTATCACTGCCTTGTTTTGATCTGTGATGTATTGATGACAAGCAAAATATTCTTGATAATGGTAAAAAATCACGCAAAATCATTGAATAGCAGTTAACAATATTTTTACAAGTTCGTCGGTGCCCTAACATCGTTATGATGTGTCTCAAGCTTATTAATCAATTTTTATCGACATAAGAGCTAAAACCCGTTCTTCCTTTAAGGCGTCCGTTTTGCGCACTTGATGATTTTTTCGCGATCTTTAGAATTGAGCCATTTTTCAGACAAAATGGCGTCATTTCCGGACAAAATGGAGGATTCGGAAGGACAGATACTGCTTAAGAACGAGATTTCACCATTACCTGAAGTTTATGAAATGCAAGAGTTTAATAATTGCAAAGTAAGTTTTTGTTTCCTTTTAACATAACTTTATTCCTTTGTATTTATTTATTGATTCTTTTATCGAAGTAAAAAAGTTTTTTTAATTTGAGGAAAACGAACAATTAACTAGCTTAACCTTGGTTACCCTAGCTGGGAGTGCGCTTTTTATTAATTTTCTTTACAGAAACATCAGATAGAAATAAAAGTAATACTAATCGAGTTTAAATTTGTTTTAAGGTTGTGTTTGCAAACAAACATGTTTACTCGAATACACTACTGCTAGGAGCATCTGATCCGTTTCTAAAGGAGCTGCTGGAGCAGCTTCCTCCTTACCTGGAGCAGTGTTTGCTGTTCCCAGATTATCAAGATCTTGAGCAATTTCTTCAGAATGATTCTACCGCAAAGGTAATACTCATAGTCTCATATTGTTCATTTTAATGATTTTGTTTTTCATTTGTACTTAGCAATAACATTTAAACAAGAAAACAGACCTGTTTTTAAATAACATTTTTGAGAAAAACAATTTGGTATGTCTGATTCACAACGTTACCCTGATATCTGAGTAATAAGGGTAAAATTAAGTCATGTTTGCATTTAAAAATGGTAAAAGTGTGTCAATTATGATCTTTGCCTTGGTTGCATAAAATCTGCATTTAATAGAAATTTTAAAATTTATAGAAAAACGAGAATATTTTTAGAAATTTTTGCATAGATAAAAGATTTAATGAATAAATAAATAAATAAAATGGTCAATTATCATCCCGCGGGAGTCAGGGTTAAGCTCTCATCTAACCGCACCACCATAATGGTTGGCAGGGCGTCACTGGCACATGTTTCCATGAAACAAAGTGTGAAGGGCCAGGCAAGAGGGTACCGTTTTGAATCGGGCATGCCCCTCTTTCAAATGGATGTCGCTTGAAATTGCGTCGATAGTCCCGGAAACCAAACTTACCAATGTTATTGTTTACTAGTAACTATGACAATATGATATGATAAATACTTATTTAACAAGTCTCCTATGATCATGAAGTCAAACACCATTTCATTTCTACAACTGTATTCTATACGCAATACGCATATGTGTAGAAAATTATACTTTTCTATTAGGTTGAAGCAACAACAAAGAAAACAGTAATTAAGTTGAACAATTTTTTTTTGAAAGATTTTGTGTATTTTTAGTGAAATGAGAACTAAATTGATATCGATTTCTATCTTTCTTGAATTTTGATCAAGATTGATAAAATTCTTAGGATTATGTTTTTAGAGGGTACGCTACACAATATTATAACTCACCCCTTGTATAGTTGTATTTAATAGCTTAGTATCCATGATATGATCCATGATATGATTTAACATAAATATTGATTTTAAAATAAACTGAAATATTGATTAACAAGAATAACGCTTAAACCAGAATTTTAATACTTGTTTATTATTTAGCTCCGGGCAACCAAGGTGGAGGGGGGGGTACCAACTGTTGATTTCATCATCAAACTCAATACACACAAGAACTTGTATATCAGCCGAACCACTACTCTCCGTTCTTTAATGAGGATTGACGAGTGACGACCCTAAAGTTGTTAAATACTCAAATATAAAAGTAAAAATGTGTTAAATGCAAAATGTTCTAAAATGATAAGACAAAGTTATGAATTAGGTTTACAGCTGCTTCGAACTGTGAACTTAAGAAAGAAGTAAAAAAATAAGACTACGTTTGTCAGTGAATATAATCAAAATTATTTCACAAGTTTTCTCAATTTTGATTATTATACTTTCTTTCTACACATAATAGTATATTAATCCTTTATAATAATTACATTAAAGGACCGGCTCAATCATTTTTAGTGACCCTCTATTTAAAAAGAAGCATGCACATTGCTCTTTTCTAAACTGTACCATCGAAACCTTTGTCTTAAAAATAATGTGTGAGATAACTGCGTTTTTTGGGCTTGAAAAGTGTTTGGTTGTGATAATTGCTTCTCTGTTTCTAGAACAAAAAATTCTCAATACACTTTTGCAGAGAACCCACAAATGAAAATATACATTTTCAAAAACAAAAACATGGATATCAATTTCATACTTGAATAGACACAGGGTACCTTTGTGAATCGGACATGCCATTTTTATAATTGAGCGTAAATGGTAATTACGTTAACAGTCCTTTTAAAGGAAGAGGAGATATTAGTCGAGGAGGAAGCTGCTGAGATAGAACCCTTTCCATTGCTGAAATTAGAAACACAGGTGAAAAGATTATAATTTTGAAATTTAGAAAAGTATTAATCTTATTTTTTAAGTTTTTGGCGTTTTTTTGTCAGTTTTATGATATATATCTTCTCGAGAGATTATTTTAACCAATCGTTTGTGCAAGTTTTTTCAATTTACGGGAAATATTTTTTATCACGGCCAATCTGTATTATCAACGCAGACACAAACTGAATCAAAATTTGATATAAACTTCGTTAATATTTAGCGCTATAGTGCACAACATTTGCATTTTTCTGTTAATGTCGATAACAAGAGTGATCAAACTAATTTGATGTTTCGTCATTGGCAAAAAGTTAGATTATCTAGTTAAAGATCAAATGTTGCGATATTATTGCTAATATTCCGCATAGAAACCCTGTAGTACCTTCAAGGATATGGACCCAGGTTTCCCTACAAGAACAATGAAACCATTAATCCAGCTTGGTTCCATCTAGCGGCCACAAATTCTTAGTTCCCGTTTTCGCTGTTAGTATGTATGAAGTTGTAATTGTGGCTTATTTTTTCTCTTATTGACAGACCCCTTATAAAGAGACTCATAGTTCCATTCAATATTTGATCCTCAAATAGACCTTTTACAGACCTGGGATACAGATGACGAATGCAATCCAAGTGAAGATGAAGAGAAAAGGGGAAATGAGAGAAAAAAGACGAACAGAAAATGGAAGAGAGGCGAAGGAATTGGGATAGGAAGTGATGGCATTGAATACAAGTTAGTAATATTACCACATTCTAAACTAAAATTGGAGCGTTCTCTCTGTTGAAATGTACGGCTTACCGGGCATGTAAGGAGTCTTTCTTATTCAACATCGTAGCCTATCCCTCAAAGAATTCCGGGCGCATTAATACAGTTTTGAATTGTTTTGGTTTTGCTTACATCGTAATCATTCACTAAGTACGTTGATAAATAACAGAGATTTTCTAAATTTTGAAGTTCAATTTTACGAATTTACAAAAATAAGATGTTTCCAAATCCAAACAACTTTATTTGTTCAATGTTCGATCACGTCATTGTCATTTATTGATTCAGTTAATAGCTTCTCTTATACACTGAACTAGACTAGATTACTGGCATTACTTTGTAACCTTGTAGCTCTCTAGTTTTGTTTTATTCACAAGTATGATAAAAATAACTGTATTACATATTAGAAATATTTGCTCTTTGTACTATCTATCTAACAAGAGGAGTTAAAAGAATTAACTCTTAAGTTCAATTTAAACATTAGTTTGACGTAATTGTCAACAAGCAAACCAGCACATTTTGAAGATATATAATATATAAAATACATCACATCAGATTTAATAAATTTAAACGTTTTTGATTAATTTAGGATTAATTTGTTTAGTTCAGGTGTGACCGGTGCCAGAAAAAATTCAACAATGTTTTAGGTATTCATTCAATCGTAAAATATGTTCAACATAAGTATATCAATAAATAATAAGCACTGAGATGTAAAATGTAAAACTGCTATGGGAAAAACTTAATGTTATGTTCCAACTTCTAGATTTTTATATTGTAATTCTCTTCTTTTATACGTTAAAATTAATAATCTTTGTCTGTCTCGTCTCTTCGTTTGGATTGCCGATCTTAACTCATGAACCTTTTGATTTCCCTTAAATTTTGTTTGAGGAACTTGGTAGATTCATGAGATTTTCCTGCTTAGTTTTAGGATGAGTAGTTTGACTTTAACAAAAAAAAACTTAGTTTCTAACCAAAGCTGGGTTCCCAAGCAAGTAATAGATATTGAATCTTTTTATTCAGAATTAAAAAATAGTCTAGAAGTAATCTTCTTTGATTCATTTTTATTTAATAACTTGAATGGCTGGTTGAAATTAGTGCTTGAGATCCATGTGCGTAAATTCCACGATCCAACAGCTAACATCAATCCGTTCTTCGAGCATCTAGAGAATCATGAGTTCAGGTAGAGCAGAACATGGATTGGGATTGGGACCAATGGACAACAATCTAAAGACTGTTGACATTTCCAAAAATTATTTCCTTTATCGTTGAGAAATATCACAATTCAATTTTAATAGAAAAAAAATGCCAAACAATTGATTGTATTCTGTTGATGACATTGTTTTACAATTGATATGAAATCTTGGCAAGTAGTGTTGAAGACATATTTTCAGGTGCAAAGTTTGCGGAATTATAAGCAACAGCAGAATTGGTATGCGAAAACATTGCAATAAAAGTCATATTAAGGCAAGTTATTTTTCAGAATTATGAATGTTTTTATTGTAAATTTCTAAGCGCCCCATTTTCAAAATTTTTCCTTTTCTTTTTGTCTCCATTCAAGTCAAAAAAAAAAAAATTAAACCATAAAACTTTTAAAAATGTAAGAAAAGAAGTAAGCTCCACTTGATTGTAGAAGAAAAGTGTTGCTTGTGTTGAGTGCAAGAAAACCTTCTACTATGAACGGGAATTGAAGTTTCACATGAAGGTTCATAGTCAGGAGAAAACTCAGTTCTGCTCAGTGTGCGGAGAAGGTACAGGGTGTTCCATTTGACATGGGAATTAAAGGGACTGTAAACGTAATTTCAAATTACTTTCCAAATAAGGAGTGACACGTCAGACTCACAACGTTGCTCTCTACCCAAATCTCAGTAAAAATGGGAACGATATCGTCGTTTCTCCAGCTATTTTTTGTTACGTGTTACAAGATGTTCAGCTCAATAATAAGCTTGAAAAATAAGGAGATCTCTTTTATCCGCAAACAGACAACCGTTGTGAATCTGACTTGCCACTGAGGTTGGTCACTTCAAATCATGTCAATAATCCCTTTAATGAGAATTCAAATCTTTGATGAATACAATAGTTTTTCAAAACGTTTTTTGCGCTTATTAATTTAAAACAAAATTCCTTGTTTTGAGATTTCTAAATTGAGGCCTGTCAATTTGTACCTTCAAAATTAATGAAAAATCAAAGAAGAATAAAGACAACTAGTTAAAAAAAGTTTGATTAAGATATTTAACAAACCAACAAGATTACGTCAAATTATGTGAAAAAGGAGAAAAATCCGTCAATTTTAAAGTATGAAAAGCCAAGAAATCTGAGGATTCGGTTTACAACATTAGAGAAAATTTTAAAACGAGGTGTTGGCTTTTTTTCCTTTGCAAATTTTTGATAAATCACTTCTTCGTTATTTAAAGGATTTATATTTTGATAGGATTTGTTTATAACCAGACAATGAAGAGGCATTATCTAAACGTTCATGCAACTGAAGAGGAAAAAAATTTACTTAAAAATAGATTTCAGGAACTATTCTCACTTGATTTTATAAATTGATAAAAGACGCATTTTTGTCAAAAAAAAACTTACCTTTTTAAGGTTCAAATAAAGTAAAAAATTTATGCGTTTGTATTAAAGCTTTAATTGTTCTGTAACCTTGGCGGAATGTTGATTAACTTCAATACCCTAGGTCGTAATTTAAAAAAACTTGACGTTCATAAAATTTAAGCAATTTAAATAAAATCCTTCTATTTAAATCTGGCGGTTTGGTGGGCATAAAGAGAAGGAAGTCAATTAGTTCATTTTCACATAATGTGAAATGCATTTTTTTCTCCATATGCTCTAATGTTAAAATGGACTAAAAACCGGGTTGTGAACAGCTGAATTCAGTGCAATTGAACGATCTTGCGTATAAACAATGTAACTTTACGAGAAGATAAAATTATTATAATGACATTATTTGAATGTTGATACTGACACTGCACCTTTGTAATTTTCTGCATAAATATAAAACTAAGTAGAATATCACTGTAGTGTGACAAGTGTGGATACTCAGATATGTTTCTGAACAGGTTAAAGCGACACATGGAAACCCACAGTACCTCCAGGGTATGTATTAAAAAGGAGGGTTAATTTAAAAAATTAAATTAACAAACTTCTAAAACTTCAGGATAATTATCATTTGTCAATGAAAACAACTCGTACAGTATAATAGAACTTTTCTAGAAACTCAGTTGCTGTGCCTTTGATTTTTAAAGGGAGTGACCGGCAATGTATGGTAGTTGAACTGAGAATGGATCATTGTAAAGAAATTCATAAGGATTCATTTGGGACATACAATGTCGTTTTACATGTCCCAATTGAATCCTAAAAATTTTCTCCACAATACTACATTCTCAGTTCAACTACCATACATCGCAGGTCACTCCCTTTAATAATATATTAGTAAATTTAGTGATTTCATCAAATTAAAGGGTGTTTAACAATTGTAATTTCTAGAACTATGCCTGTGATGTTTGTGGTAAAACATTTACAAGTAAACGTTATATGCAACAACACTATAGAAGCAACCACGTTTTACCACCACAACCAGCCAGGTAGAGGTAGAGCTAGTTGTTGCGAGGGGGGTGGGGGGATATTGAGGGAAATTTGAAAAAATTCTCTGAGCATTTCGTAAAAATATAATTTTTCTGTTTTTCCTGTTTTTTCCTAAAATCTCCTCCAAATAAGAGATTTTTTTATTAAAAATATAATTTTTTATGTTTTTCCTTTTATTTCCTAAAACTCCTCCAAACACGAGATTTTTTTTCTTCATTTTAATTATTTTCCAGACCTAAAACTGCTGAGCAGAAAGCTAAAGAAGCTGCCAGAGCTAGAATATATCGGGCCATTAAGGTATGCAATAAATAAATTATTACCATAATCCAAAAAAAATCTTATACCCGTTCTTTTTTCTGATGTTTTTGTGATTGTAAAAATAGCAAAATGTGAAATGCGAAAATTTATTTTTAATGAACTGCATCATTTGTTTTCAACAAATTTTATCTTTTAAACTTGAACTCTTCGGTCTTTGTTATATACTTTTTTATTTCTGAAAAACTAAAAGAGAAGTTTCTTCAGAAAGGTCCAAATTTTTCTTTAATGAAGTTTTAGAAAACCTTCAATTTAAGCATTAATTTACAAAACGTTGACAATCCTGGCATCTTTGAAACCTGAAAACCTGAATCTGATCAATAATGTGGAAGATAACGTCGTTTTTCTGGCGTGAAAAGTGACTACTTTTGATAATTTCTCCATTGTTTCTGAAGCAAGATATGGGCAAGTCACTTTTACAGGGAAACCTCAAATGAAAATTTTCATGATTTCTGATTTATTCTCGGTCTGACCTAGCATGCTTCTCTAGTCACTTAAAATTACGATTATTTACTATTTAGGCTGGAAAACTACCCGAGAACTATAAACAGCTTCCTTTATCAAAACCTGATGTTCCAGATGGAGAAAATAAATCTTAAAAAGAATAAAATCGTTCTTGACATTGTCTAATGTTTAATTTTAGCTAATCCATTAAATTAAAATTAAATATGTCAAATATTTCAGTTTTGATTTAGTAAAGTCAAATCAAGACTAGACAGTAGATAAGTACGATTTGATTTTATCATTTTATAAAATACTTCTAATATTTTTTGCAAACACTCAAGTTTTCATTGTCGATTCCACATTTTGATCTTTTCTACATCTTGGACAATGATGACGATTTGGCTTTGAGGTTCTTTAATTTGAACTTCATGTAGATACTCAAGTAGCCACTCTTATCAACAATACATAGTATTCATTTAAGAATATTTTGGATTGCAGGCTGGGCTATTGGCATTTAATGTGCATTATATACTGACAAAAAAAAACATACATAACATACATAGAAAAGAGAATTAAGAATTATAAACAAAAAACTGTATTTTTAATCTAACAATATGCATTAAGTTTTTAACAGTTGATGTAGCTGAAGAATGTTTAGTAAAGAGGTGAATGCTGTCAGATTCGCATAAATAACGATCCCTAAGAAATTTAAGCTAAATTTTAGGATTTTAAAGTGGAAGGTTCAAATGTCTCGGGACATTAGTCAAAACTACAATTTGTAGTATTCCAATAAATTTTTAAGTTTCAGAAGTCCGTAAATAAAATGCTCTTTATCTGATGATAGGAAGATAAGTTGAGAGAAACCAAGATGTCGACCGAGTCAGCTGATTCAATAAACAAGATGGCGACCAATTCAGCTGAACAAGCTGACAATAACAAGACTGAAAGACCTAAATTAAAAGGTTCGATTGAATAAAAAATTGTAAGATATAAATAGAGTCGTGAATGTTTGCTTTTGTTTTCATGTAGACACTCCAAACTAAGAAATTAAAAAAAAAATAATCGCTAAGTTATATATTTTTCATTGCAACAATGTCATTATATTTTTGTGTCAGGTCGTAGCGTTCTCCCAGTTCAACAGCCTGAGAAGGTTAATGTGAACTTGTGGTCCTACCTTAAACAATGTGTTGGTAAAGAACTCTCCAAGATTACAATGCCAGTTCATTGGAATGAACCCCTTTCCCTTCTTCAGGTATATCTTATGCAAACATTCACAGTGGTGTTAAGTATTTTTTCAAAGGCACTTTCACTAGGGCGACTTCTAACTAAATTCTAAGTGACAATTTCCCAAGTGGCAGGCTGCAATGAGAGGGGGGGGGGCTAGCATAGGTTAGGGGGCAGAGATGGCTCAAAGTGTAAAAAACGGAAAGAATTAATTGGTGTTTCCAAAATGAGTAACCTAGTAAAGTACTAGTCAGTATGTATTCTGTTCATCCTTCAGCATGCATGTGGGATGCAGCATGCTGGATGCATGCTGCATGATAAGCGGTAGAAATAGATATATGTCAACCTTTTGTTTTTGTCATCAAACAGTTCAATTATAGGGTAAACGTAGATTTGTGTTGCATTGTGCATTCTATAAGGCAGGCTAGATACATCTGTCATTTTTTTTTGGAAAAAGATCATCCGAAATATAGAAATACGTTTTCTTGCTCGATGACATTTTTTAAGGCCAAAGTTGAGGTTTTTGCAACTGTGCATGCTTGATGCATGCTGGCCCACATTTAAATCGATAAGATAATTGTATGGCTAAATTTAGATTCCTTTATTCTGGCTGGCATACTAGATGCATGCTGGCCGAAAACATTTTAAATGCTTGGATTTTTATTGAACTTTGCATTTGATTCAAATATGTTGAAATTCCGAGCAAACCAAAACCAGCGATGTTTAGACTGATAAATCTATAACTTTATGTAAAAGTTCACCAGAATGCATTATGATTAGCATGCAGAATGCAGAAGGCATACTAACCAATAACAATCGCAAATTTATTTGTCCACAGACATACTGATTAAATTTAAGTAGTGAAATGCTGTCAAATAAACTTTAGAAAATTCTTTTCTTTCCGTTTTTTTACACTTCGAGCCATAGTGGAGTGCTGCGGCTAAAACTGACTTGAGAAATTGGGAAATTGCGCAATGGGTAGTTGCCGCTTGGGAAGTTGCCGCGAGGGAAAAGGACTTCGGGAAAGTGTCTTAACATCTTCATTGTTGGGGTGGGGAAATTTATTTTTAAGATGGGGGAATAACAATTTTCAATGAGATTAACACTGACTTGCCTTGTCTTAGACTTTTTCGACCAAGAATATAGTGTAAGAAAAATATGATTTTTTTTGGTTTGAATCTTTTATGGATTTCATTCTTTCTGGAACTTTTTCACCTTTCTTGTAAACTAATATAATTTTCTTAAAATCTTTAATTTTAAACTACAAAAGTATGAAATATTTGTTTTGAGGGGGGGGGGCGGGTCACATTTTAATATTGTCTTATATTAAGTTTGGTCGGGTTAAAATATTTTAAAATAAAATTTAAATATACATTAAATGTATTTAAGAGGATATCAGAGTACATGAATTACTCCCATGTACTTCTACCAGCACACACCTCATAACTTTTCGGTCTTTGTTATATACTTTTTTATTTCTNAGCTAGTAATCAAGATAGGTTCGTTTCATATCTAGCTAGTAATCTAGATAGGTTGGTTTCATCTCTAGCTAGTAATCTTGACAGGCTGGTTTCATATCTAGCTAGTATTCTAGACAGGTTGTTTTCAGCTCTAGCTAGTAATCTTGACAGGCTGGTTTCATCTCTTGATAAATCAGAGTAGAATCAGACTCTATCCCCTTTCCCTAGTTCTACTCTCATGTTGTTTTCTAGGATGGGTAAACCGTTTAATCCACTTCTAGGGGAAACATATCAACTGGAGCAGGAACATTTCAGATTTGTTTGTGAACAGGTATTTGTCCCTGTAATAGTTATTTTACTAAAATATCAATGAAATGGTCAAATATAAATTCAAAATTGATCAAACAACAAACAACACAAAACTAGCCACACGCTTTAACTTATAATCTTAAAACTTGAAACTTTATTGAGTAAATATGTGATAGTTTAAACTTAAACTATGTTTTCAAACAAATGCATAATTTTATCTAAAGTCTAAGGCATCAGGTTGCAAAAATATAAGAATTAGTAAATCAGGTCTCAAGCATTAATTATTTGTCATAATTTTTATTTAGGTTGGTCATCATCCTCCTGTTTCAGCTTTTCATGCAGAATCCCAAAACAAGGAAAATTTTCTTTCTCAATAAATTTTTTATAAAATCATTTATTTATTTTTGTTTTCATATTCTATGTAATAAAGCTCTTCGCTCATATATATTATATGTATATTTATATGTTAGCTATAGCTTGCCAAACGGCTAGACCAAATTAGCTGTTATTTTTTGAGGATACCAATGGGTACCCTGCACTGGGAGGTAACAAAGGCTCAAAAAATAGTTTTTTTTAGATAATTTGTTTAGCAAAATATAATTTTTTTTTGTTTCACCGGCAACTTCAGTTCGTAATTATAAAAAATCCTGCGAGGGAGGGAAGGGTATTTGCAACAATTTCTAATTGGCATTGCAAAAATACAATTTGCGACAGGCCCCTGACGATTTAAAATTTAAAATTGATGCTGTTTGCCTTCCTTCCCTCCCTACTCATGTAAAGATAAACTAAAAACTAGCGAACCAACTAAATATTTAAAAAGAATTAATATTTAATTATTTGTGAAAAGATAATTTGACCAGGAGTTTATCTTCCACGGATCTATTTATCCTAAAGTCAAATTCTGGGGTAAAAGTATAGAGTTCCAACCTAAAGGAACAATGACTGTGGAACTACCTCTTGCTGGTAAATACAAAATATTTTGTGAATTATGTAAAATTGATTTAATTTTTTTTTATGAAATAATGCTTTTCTACATGTGTAGGCTAATAAGCATTTTATATATAGTACCAACAAAATTAGTCAATACACAATGAACTCATTTTTTTGGTGGGTAAAAACTGGTTTAACAGTCTGTTTAAATTCAATCTTATTAGGCTTCTGTCGAAACAATATGTACAGTTTCGACATAAGAGAGGGGGTTGGGGAATATGCTAAGTTACTCTTACTCTAACTATAACTCTGAACTGCGACTAAGACTTGAAAATTGGCATCAAATCTATGTTCCGCTTCAAGTCCAGTTTCAGTGGCGTTTGTTTACAAACAACTATTTTACATTAGTACACACACCGAAACTGAATTCATTGTGTATTATGGATTTTCTCATATTTTGAGAAATTTTCTATTGGTCTCATCTTACCTTGCCCTTAATTTTATATTCTCGAATAAAGAATATTTTACGGCGACAAGTTTCTTAAACTCTGGAAAGCAATCAACTCTTGACTCGATTCTTGACTTAAGCTTTACTTGGGTCTAAGTAGACGCAAATACCGAGTTTAATTCGGGTTTAAGCTTTAAAAATCTTAACTAAGGAGAGTTGTATACTTGGTCTAATGTAAACCGTGTTCAGGTGAAACGTATACTTGGTCTAATATAAACTGTGTTCAGAGAAAACGTATACTTGGTCTAATATAAACTGTGTTCAGAGAAAACGTATACTTGGTCTAATATAAACTGTGTTCAGAGGAAACATATACTTGGTCTAATATAAACTGTGTTCAGGGGAAACGTATACTTGGTCCAATGTGAATTGTGTTGTCCACAATATTATTGTTGGAACACTGTGGATGGAACACACTGGAACTATGGAGATTGTCTGCCATCAAACAGGTTTGTTTGTGGGGTTTTTTATACTTAATTAAGGTTTCACCTGCATTTGTAATTGTATTTCATTATTTGCGTTTAGTTTTATTATGTGGTGGGGGGGGGGCGGTGATTTTTAAAGGGCAAGTAAACGTAACTCATCTCTTGCATGGAATCGACAGATATTTTTTGGGGGAATGTCACCAAGAGTTTGATGTGATTTGATCAGACTGTTTTGAGTGAAGTTGTAGTTTTCAATCCATTTAACACTGTATTTGTTCCAGGCTTGAAGGCAGTTATTTCATTTAAGCCTGGAGGCTGGTTTTCAGGCACTGATGATCTTCATACCGTAGAGGGTTTCATCATAGACAAGTCAGTAGAACTGGTTTATTTAAAGGGAATGTTTACCAGCTTAAAAATTCAATTTTGAAATTAGGAACACTACTATTTATAGGGGTTACCCAAAAAGGTTGAGACTTCAATGACGACTGTACGGAATTTATACTCTGTTTCCTTAAATTCATGATTTCCTGCAGCTGTAAACTTGTCAAATCATTAAATATCATCCTTAAAGACTAAATTCTAGGCAGAAGTCTCAATTTATCTTTGAAATAGTTTCACGTCGTCTTTAAAGTCTGACCCTTTGTGAATAACCCTGTATTTTACTGCTCAACTATGCTAAAGATCAGGTTATTGCTTGTAATCAATTGCACTTAAATCTATTCTTTACTTCCCTCAGTCACATTTTAGATTAAGATGGTCACTTATGCTCTTCAATGAAAAATGTTTAGAATTTACTATTAACAAACGAGTGAACAATCCTTAAAATATTTTCAATATAAAAATAGAACTCCTGAGTACTCCTGAGTACCTGAGTACTTGTGTATCGATGGAACTGCAAAATATACCTCCAAATATGCATAATAGTTTTAACATTACAGAAAGACGTCCCTTAGAAAAAAAAACAGTTTAAACTATTTAGAAATAAAACTAAACTCCGGTTTCTGTATGGCCGTTGGACAGAGTTCCTATGTAGTGCTGACCCAACTATGCTCGCCTCAATGCTTAACTGCAAACCAGAGAAAATGGACCCTAGTGCCAGTAATTTACCCAAGGTAAGACCCGTCTAACGGTCTAACCAGAACTAGTTTCTTAATGGCAGGACCGTTTTACCAGACCTGATTTCACTTGGTACAACCCGCCAAACCAGACCTGGTTTCTTGGTTTGAACACCTGTCTAACCAGACCTAATTTCTTTTGTCAGGACCCTTCTAACCAGACCTGGTTTCTTGGTACAACCCGCCTGATCACACGTCTAACCAGACCTAGTTTCTTTTTGCCAGGACCCGTCTAACCAGACCTGGTTTTTTTTTATGTCAGGACCCGCCCAACCAGACCTGTTGTCTTAGTAAAACCCGTCTAACCAGACCTGGTTTGTTTATGGTAGGACACGACCGACCACACCTGGTTTCATGGTACGCCTGACCACACGTCTAACTGGACTTTGTTTCTTAATGTCAGGACCCGCCAAACCAGTTCTGGTTTCTTGGTATAACCCGCCTAACCACCCGTCTTAATCAGGTCTGGTTTTCTTTGTACAACCTGTCTAAACACCCGTCTTAAACAGACTTGTTTTCAACTTTCGTTAGAGGACTGCTTAGAGCCCGTAAAATGGTGTCATCCATATATTTTTTGTTATTTTTCTCTCTCTTATTCTGATTCTCTTTTCTACCTTGACACTCCCTGTAAGTTGAAACCAAGGTTGTATGATAAAAATTGCTTACTCTCGATGTGCTCCAATGTATGGTAAATGTCGTCTCCTAAGCTTAGATAAATAAAAACCTCATATGGCGTCACTGATTATAGAGGAGAGAGTGACGTGATATACGGATTTTTCTATATATATATGCTAAGGAGAAGACCTTTCCCCTACATTGCAACCTTACTATACAATCTTGGTTGAAACTATCCATCATTTTCTACCTTAATTCATAGTTAGTTATAGATCTACCTTAATTTTATTTCTTTATTTATAGATCTACCTTAATTTTATTTCTTTAGTTATAGATCTACCTTAATTTTATTTCTTTTGTTATAGATCTACCTTAATTTTATTTCTTTAGTTATAGATCTTCCTTAATTTTATTTCTTCAGTTATAGATCTACCTTAATTTTATTTCTTAAGTTATAGATCTACCTTAATTTTATTTCTTTAGTTATTGATCTACCTTAATTTTATTTCTTTAGTTATAGATCTACCTTAATTTTATTTCTTTAGTTATAGATCTACCTTAATTTTATTTCTTCAGCATCCTCCTCTTCCACTTGGGGCAATCCCTGACAGCAAAATCTTGTGGCAGGCAGATCCAAAACCTGAGGTAATCAATGATTATAATAATAATCATGAAAAAAATAGTAATAATAATAATAATTATGATGTGATGATGAGGATAATAATGATAATAATAAAATGTTGATAATGATAATGATAAGCAATTCAATCATCAGTCTGGAAAGCCTGGCCAAATCTAGTGAAAAAATTACCATCAGATGGTAGAAATTAATTTTGCACTCCTCTTAGTACTCTCCTTGTACTAATGTTTATGTTTAGCACTCCTCCCTATACTCTCCTTGAACTAATGTTTATGTTTAGCACTCCTCCCTGTACTCTCCTTGAACTAATGTTTATGTTTAGCACTCCTCCCTATACTCTCCTTGAACTAATGTTTATGTTTAGCACTCCTCCATGTACTCTCCTTGAACTACTTTTTATGTTTAGCACTCCTCCCTGTACTCTCCTTGAACTAATGTTTATGTTTAGCACTCCTCCCTGTACTCTCCTTGAACTAATGTTTATGTTTAGCACTCCTTCCTGTACTCTCCTTGAACTAATGTTTATGTTTAGCACTCCTCCATGTACTCTCCTTGAACTAATGTTTATGTTTAGCACTCCTCCCTGTACTCTCCTTGAACTAATGTTTATGTTAAGCACTCCTTCCTGTACTCTCCTTGAACTAATGTTTATGTTTAGCACTCCTCCCTATACTCTCCTTGAACTAATGTTTATGTTTAGCACTCCTCCCTATACTACAATTTCTCCTCGTTCACCATGAAGTTGAATGAGGCTGGACAAGGCGGGGTGTTGGCTCCTACAGATTGCAGACATAGGCCTGATATTAGGTTAGCAAATAATTCTCAAAATTAACTTTTGCACAATTCAAAAATTTAAGTCGAAAGTGTCCAGGCGGTAAATGATCATTTATTTCTTAAGATACAAGGAAGTATTATTAATTAAGTGTTTAAATCTCAAAAAAGAAAATTTGAATTTAATTGGTATTTTTTTCATAAATAAAGTCTTGTTTTAGTTTGGCATAAAAATTAAAACGGCAAGCAAGATTAATTTTACTATGAAAGGCATGATTGCTTTATTATGAGAGGCATGATTGCTTTACAATGAGAGGCATGATTGCTTTACTATGAGAGGCATGATTGATTTACAATGAAAGGCATGACTGATTAACTATGAGAGTCATGATTGATTTACAATTATGCCTCTCATAGTAAAATGAATGGTAAATGTAAAAGTAATGGTACCCTTTAAACCTTATCTGATGAGTAATGTGTATATAGATTACATTGACGTTTTTTCGTCCTAACCAAGTTTATTTCTGCTATATTCTACATTGAGCAGAAATACTCAAGTCACTTTTGTATCTAATACTTGATAAGACAACGCTTTTAATCAAACATGCCACTTCAGAAAGATCCGAGCTGGGAACTTTTAAATGGGATATCCTTAATCACGATCGGTTAATTAATCTGGAGATTAATAATAAGAGGAGAACAAGCATTTTTTAATCAGGAGATTAAGAAAAAGAGGAGATCAAGCATTGATACCGACATCCACCATCTAAAGTTTTCAGCTATGGTCACATAAAATACTTAATCTTGAAATTTTTAGAGCTTTGGAGGAGGGAGACCTTGACGCGGCCTCCGCGCACAAGGAAGCCTTGGAGAACAAGCAGAGGGAAGCCAGGAAGCAGTTCAAGAATAAGAAGGAGCAGGATTGGTGGCAACCAAGATGGTTTCATCCTGATACTCATCCTTATACAGGTATTACAGAACGGGCTTTGTGTAGTGACTTGGTCTAATATAAACAGTATTCTTGTTCCCTCATTTGTGCAGTGCAGTATCCCCCCCCTCTAGTATTCTTGTTCCCTGGTTTGTGCAGGGCAGTTTCCTATCCCCCACTCTAGTATTCTTGTTCCCACGTTTGTGCAATGTAGTATCCCCACTTCTAGTATTCTTGTTCCCTGGTTTGTGCAGTGCAGTATCCCCCACTCTAGTATTCTTGTTCCCACGTTTGTGCAATGTAGTATCCCCACTTCTGGTATTCTTGTTCCCTGGTTTGTGCAGTGCAGTATCCCCCCCTCTCTAGTATTCTTGTTCCCTGGTTTGTGACTCAATTTTTAAAGCGGCATGTTCGATACCCAACTGTATCCTTAAATGTTTTTTAAGTCATACAGTGGTGGGCGATTATATAAATAAAATGAAGACGACTTTCGATTTCCATTTTGATTTTAATCAAGCTTTTAAACAGAATGAATACGTAAATAATGGAAACAAAGAAAAACTGTCAATTAAAAAGCTTCCCTTAATCACTTGTGAACTTGTAATTCGGAAAAAAAAACTTCTTAACAATAAAAACTTAAATAAATAGTCGTCTTCATTATATTGATATTATCACCTACCACCGTAGTAAATAAATATTTTTCTATTTGAAATTTTATTTTTTTCCTCTGTGATGAATAGTTATGAAACATTCTTTTAGGAGACGAAATCTGGAGGTTCAAACAGGAATTCTGGTCCGGACAATTTGACGGTGCTCCAGATATATTCTAGATCCAATATATCAGAATATATTCTAGATTTAATATATCTGACTATATTCAACATCCATTACACCAGAACATGAGACCTAATATATGAGAATAAGATCCATATTTAAAATCTATTTAGTTTTGGCGTCACTAAGTTATTTCTTTTGATCTGATTCATCCCTGACTTTATCTCAATCTGAATCTCGTTCAAGAAAATCAATCAAACATTTTAGTTTTTAAAACGCGCATTTTGTTTTATTTTTTGCAAAAAGAATCAAGACAAGAGGGTTGTAAGGGTAAAGTGTAACTTTTTACATCAAAATTTATTAAATTCGTGTGACTGATGCTTATAAAAAGTTTGCACCTATGACAGTTTTTTAAAAGCTTTCAATCAAGGAACAGTAAAATGTTGAATATTTTCGTACAAGTTTATCCCGATGCACATCTAGTGATATTATGTATATTTGTACATAAACCTGTGTACATAAATGTACACAATCCCAACTGTAAACAATCAACCACCAAGAATTTTAACAAATCAAATTCCGAAATTTCTGATTTAAAAAAGTGCCGCTCAATGTTAACGTTTCTCGTTAAAACACTTATAATATAAATGCACATTGAACATTCCAGAAGTTGATTTTATATTTTATTCAACCAAAATTATGAAGGCCTAATTATTTACCGGTTGTTCCTTGACTAAGGTACTGCTTAAAAAAGAAATACTCGACAGCAAAATATATGTAATAAAAAATAATATTTTAACCAAGGTTGTGAAATATCAATTTTTATTTTAATTAATATGCAAAAATCAAGATTTATTTTTACATTTTTTTCTTTTAAGTTTGAAAAAAAATCATGATCTAGCGAATATTTTATTCATGGTTTTCTTCTATTAATAAGTTGTTCGTTTTATGGAATTGTTTATATTATTTTTATTTATTAACATCTGAAATGTAAACTTTAAAATGAAATTTTTTATGTAAAAACTATCTGAATCAAATTAAAATCTTAAAGAATAAAAATTCAGGCAAGTTTCGATGAAAATTTTAACACAATTTGATACTTTTTAACCTTTGTTTTGAGACACATTTATCCGTTTTTAATGTTGAACTTCTTAAAAATAGTGACTTAGCTTGTTCTAACCATGTAGCCTGGGGTTCAACCTATTAAATAGTAAAATTATGCAAATCATCTGTATGTATTACTGTACTGAGTGTACTGTAATGTAATGATATATAAAATATAAAGTTTGTAAATTAAATAAATGATATGTAAATAACTGCTTTAGTCGATAAACAGATAGTTTTTTATGACAAACAAATATCGAATTTCAATTATAACAGGAAACATAAATTTGGTTTCCTGAAAATTTCATCAATTTCATGATTTTCACTAAAATAATAATTTGTACTGGAGATAAAGTTAAAAGACCTAAATAATGCAATTATTTGCTTCAAATGCTTACTAGGCATGTGAAATATAATATAAATTAAATTTAAGACGAATGATTTTTATATACATATGTAAAACGTGTTATAAAATGTCAAATTACTCTGAAATGTATATTATATTAGTTTAAAGATAAAATTATGAATAGGAACTTAGTAAGAAACATTTTTAAATGTGATTTTTTATTGTTTAAATTCAAATGCTCTCACAGAACTTGTCACGTTACTAAACGTAATTTGCGTAATCAGGACTGTACTGGACTGCACCTATGTTCGGTAATCAACGTGTATCTGTACTGTACTGCACCTATGTTCGATATTCAACGTGTATCTGTACTGTACTGCTCCTATGTTCGATAATCAACGTGTATCTGTACTGTACTATACCAATATTTGATATTCAACGTGTATCTGTACTGTACTGTACCAATATTTGATATTCAACGTGTATCTGTTCTGTACTGCACCTATGTTCGATGATCAACGTGTATCTGTACTGTATAGTACTAATATTTGATATTCAACATGTATCTGTACTGTACTGTACCAATATTTGATATTCAACGTGTATCTGTACTGTACTGCACCTATGTTCGATAATCAACGTGTATCTGTACTGTAATGTACAAATATTTGATATTCAACGTGTATCTGTACTGTACTGTACCAATATTTGATATTCAACGTGTATCTTTACTGTACTGTACCAATATTTGATATTCAACTTGTATCTGTACTTTACTGCACCTATGTTCGATATTCAACGTGTATCTGTACTGTACTGTACCAATATTTGATATTCAACGTGTATCTGTACTGTACTGCACCTTTGTTCGATATTCAACGTGTATCTATACTGTACTGTACCAATATTTGATAATCAACGTGTATCTGTACTGTACTGCACCTATGTTCGGTAACCAACGTGTATCTGTACTGTACTGCACCTATATTTGATATTCAACGTGTATCTGTACTGTACTGTACCTTTGTTCGATATTCAACGTGTATCTATACTGTACTGTACCAATATTTGATAATCAACGTGTATCTGTACTGTACTGCACCTATGTTCGGTAACCAACGTGTATCTGTACTGTACTGCACCTATGTTCGATATTCAACGTGTATCTGTACTGTACTGTACCAATATTTGATAATCAACGTGTATCTGTACTGTACTGCACCTATGTTCGATATTCAACATGTATCTGTTCTGTACTGTACCAATATTTGATAATCAACGTGTATCTGTACTGTACTGCACCTATGTTCGGTAACCAACGTGTATCTGTACTGTACTGCACCTATGTTCGATAATCAACGTGTATCAGTTCTGTACTGTACCAATATTTGATAATCAACGTGTATCTGTACTGTACTGTACCAATATTTGATAATCAACGTGTATCTGTACTGTACTGCACATATGTTCGGTAACCAACGTGTATCTGTACTGTACTGCACCTATGTTCGATATTCAACCTGAACTGTACTGTACTACACCTATGTTCGATAATTAACGTGTATCTGTACTGTACTGCACCAATGTTCGATAATCAACGTGTACTGTATACTGAACCAATCATCGTCAATCAAAGTTTACGGCACTACATGTACTGTACTGCACTCGTGTTTGGTGATCAATTTGATTTGTTATGTACTGCACCAACGATCGGTAATTAAAGTGTACGGTACTACGTGTACTGTACTAAAATAATGTTCTGGGATTAATGTGTTTTGTACTGTAACGTAACGTAACATAATGCACTTAACCGAACTTCAGTGATCAACGTGTATTTTACTGCACCAATATTTGGAATTGTTTATTAATGAAGTATAACAAAAATATAGAAAATTGAGAAAATGTAATGTACAGCACCAACACGTTCCACAATCAACGTGTACTGTACTGCATTATTGTTCGGCAATGAACTTGTACTGAACGTATGTGCTCACGTGTAGTTATAATTAATTCCTATTCTAACTCGGCCTTATGAATTGATAAAAAATATAAAATGTATTTTTGAATTGAGAAAATAAAAGGGTTAATCAAAGCATGAAATGGAGACTTTTTCTTTACTTGTACATTTGGTATATAATATTTTAACATTTGAAACATAGATGTGAAGGTAAAATGAGGTTTTAGATCTTAACTTTCAGCTTCGGTTTCCAGCGAAAAAGAAAAAACGTCTCTCGAAATTTCGTGAAAAAAAATGGAAATCAAGCAAAAAAAACGGAAATTTCGCAGAAACTACAGCTATTTTAAAAACAAATGCTCATGATTCAAACATAATTATTAAAGTAAAGGAAGAGAAATTATTTATGTGACAAATTAAAAATCAAATGTCGAACTATCAGAGCAGAGAATGCCACAAGTTCTTTTGAGCAATTAATTGTTGCACCTATGGTTTTCACAAAATTTTTGCATTTAGAGAAAATATTTTCGCATTTTGCGAAATTTCGCTTAGTTCTTTTCTCGAGATACATTGAATAATACTGTGTTTAGCAGGCAGATAATTGATGAGATTAGAACAATGAAGGAAAATGAATTCATGTTGGACATTCTCCTGTGATTTGTTTGCCGGAATAATTTAAAGGAAGAGTAAAAAAAATTAATATGTAAACTGAGAATGAGCTGAGATCTCGATCATAAATTAAATTAAAGAGTTAAAATGAAGGAAGAAAAAGTTTGCGAAATGCGACCGAAAATTTTCGCGGAACGTTTCGTTCTCTGGAAACCCTACTTTCGACCAAGCTGAAATGACAAACTTTAAACTTTAACACTTGATTTTGATATCCATCGATCCGTTATGTTACGTGATTTTGTAAATTGTAATAATAGAACAAAGATTGTGCACATCAAAGATCAAAGATCGCGGTTAAACTATTTTTTTAAACCACTGGAATTATAAATTCAATTGAATGGATTTCTTCCTAATTCCAATTTTTGGAATCGCAAATTTTAAACATAGAATCTTATCAAATTTGTGTACACTGCTGGAACACTTATTTCATGTTATATTTTTATTATTTTTATTCAAATGATGATTTTACTAATCTTCTTTAATTTACGACTCTCGCTGTGGTAAAACCAAAAATACTGGAGTGCTTGTCTTCTTTCGTTCTCGTAGGAAATGTTTGCATAATTAAAAAATTTCTAATAAGGGTCGGACGAGGGAGGGAACCCCTGGACGCCATGAGCCTCTGCTTTGCCGACACAAGCCTCCTAGATTTGCTAGGCAGACCGAGCCTCCACTTTGCAGACCAAGCCTCATCTATGCAGACTGTGCCTCCGCTATGCAGTGAACGAGCCTACACCATACAGAACAGCTTTTTTTAAATCTTGGTTTTATGTGTAATGAAAAATGTTAACAATTCTTTTTGACGTGGCATAAGAATTTTACTAAAGATTAGAGTAATTTATTGATTGTCATAATTAAAAACATATATGGACTCTTAAAGTGATTTTTAAGATTTCTAATAAAACTTTAAACATTTCTAACGCATAAAGGAAGATATTTGGAGAAATATTTCTGGAGTAAATTTAGTTTGTTTTGTTGTAATCTTTGATTTAAACAATACCTTTTTTGAAAAATTTAAGATTTAAATAAATTATACAAATTTTCTAGATTTAATTTGAACTACAAAGAAAGGTATTGCTTAAATCAAAGATTATAAAAGATGAAATAAAATTCAAATTTTTTCTCTAAATATTTTTCTTTTCATCTAAAGAATGTTTAAAGTATTGTATACCACTTTCTTAGTCATAATTAGGAACTATTTATGATAATTGATAAATACTTATCTTTGAGAAACCTCTTGTTGTATTCCGGATTGTTTGATATATGAGTGAACAGTCCCTTGAATCCAACAGGAAGCCAGATGAGTCAGTACATCCCGGACCGCTGCAGCGTAGACACAAGTCGCACTGCACATAGCCGTCCTTTAGATCTTAACTTTCAGCTTCGGTTTCCAGCGAAAAAGAGAAAACGTCTCTCGAAATTTTTTTTTCTATTTTGCGAAATTTTCGCAAAATTTAGGGTGCTAGGTAGGTTTTTAAAAAAACGTTCAAAAAGTACGTCGGAAAAATGTTGAAAGTTTTTGTACTTTTTACAAATATTATAATGTGACACATGTTTTTCATTCATTTTTCCTGCACAGCGATTTGCCTTTCTTTGCTGAGATGTTCATTTAAATCATGCCTACACTCCCTTCTTATTGAATTATTAGTGTAGATGATGAAACTGAATAATACAAAACATGCCGGTTTAGGCTTTCTTTTTCAGCCTGCCTGCCTGTATACTGTGAACCTAGGCATGGTTGTATAGGCATAGTACAGATTTAGAGTTCAAGCAATTAAAGGCAGAACCTCTATTCATAAAGTGATCATGTTATAGAATTGGAGTCTCATTCTAAACTAGGATTTTCATAACTTTGCACAAAACAGTATAATCTTAAAGTTTGAAGAAGAAAAATATTGGAACAGGCTTTATAACAAGTTGTATGCAGATCTGGACCCGCTTTGTAGTTTCAAGCATTTTCATTCAGATTCCAATATTTATTTGAATTTAAAAATGTCATATTTTTAAGTTTCAATTTTTAAGGCCAAGCTTATATTCGAAGATACTGATATCATCCTGGTATACCAAACCTATGTTTGTTAGTGTACCCGATCGTTTTATACTGGTGTACCAGACCAATGAATACTAGTAAATCAGACTTACGTATACTGGTTTACCAGACCTATGTATAATGGCATATCAGACCTATTTATAATGGTATATCAGAACTATGTATACTGGTATACCAGTCCTATGTATACTGTTATACCAGACCTATGCATACTGGTATACCAGATCATTGTATACAGGTATACAACACCTATGTATACTTGTATACCGGACCTTTGTATACTGGTATACAACACATATGTATAATGTTATACCAAAACTATGTATACTGGTATACCAGGCTTATGTATACTTGTATACCAGGCGTATGTATACTGGTATACCAGGCTTATGTATACTAGTATATCATACCTATTTATACTAGTTAATCAGACCTATACAGGTTTACCAGATCTTTGTACACTGGTATACCAGACCTATGTATACTGGTATATCATACCTATGTTTAGTGTTACACCAAAACTATGTATAATGGTATACCAGACATATGTATACTGGTATCCCAGGCCTATTTATACTGGTATAACAGACCTTTGTATACTGGTATACACATACCTACATACACTGGTATAACAAGACCTAATTATAATGGTATACCAGACCTATGTATACTGCTGTACCAGACCTACGTATACTGGTATACAAATACCAGACCAACGTATACTTCTATGCAAATACCAGCCCTACGTATACCTGTATACCAGACCTTTGTTTACTGGTATATTAGACCCTTGTATACTGGTATACCAGACCTACGTTTACTGGTATACCAGACCATGCATACTATATTAATATTTTAAGAAGTTGCAATCTGTCGATACACACACAAAATGAAAACTGCAACCTCCGGAGGCTGGGACTGAATGAACCTCAGTGTAGGCCTACCAGCCTCCAAGTGTAAACACATAAACAGAACCCGAAAAGGAAAACACGGAAATGAAAACAGCTGATTCTAAAATATAAAGTACATCAAGTATTATTTACATACAATAGAACTAGAGTGAAACCTTTCAGTCATGTATAATACGTAACATAGCATTATGTTTTCGTATATTTATTACATTTTTACTATTGTTAGCTACTTTATACACTATTTCCGTATTTAAGCTTAATTATCTTAATTAATATTTTAAAACAAATATCATAATATCAAATGACAATTATGAAGAAAAGTGAATTAGATTGAGGTAATATTTAAAAGTGAAAATGTATTCAATGGCGAATTAAATGTTCTGTATACAGAGTTAAATCAATGGGGTATTTTAACCCCCCCCCCCCCCACAGATTTGCAGCGGCTATGGTTATATTTATATTCTGTATATCGAGTAAATTTTGAAAAATGGAGAAATTAAAAAAAGGAGGAAAGAATTAAAGCCAACTTTTAGGCCTTTCCATTAGGTGAAAATGTAATTCAAAATAAAAGTGAAAAAAGTGAAAAAAGGTGGAAAAACTAGATTTTCTTCTGGAATTTTGACAATTTTTTTCACTCATCTTTTGGAATCCAGAAGTCATTTTCAACAATTGCAATGTAGCGTTGTGAATTGTTAACGGCAATATCTGGTTTAAAATATCGTGTAATCTAATAAAAAATTATGATAAATATTACATTACATAAAACCTTCAAATTCGTTGAATTTTTCATTAACAAAAAAACAACACTTTATTTCCAATAAGATGTTTTACAATATTTAAAACCTGAAAAATATTATAATTATAAAATTTCAATTGGAAAATATCAGATTTGCAAGGGTAAGGGTGAAAGTTGCATCTACAAAATCTGCTTGATAAGGGTTAGTGATTCCCATAGGATGAATGATATGCATTTTTTATGTTTCAATAAACGAAACTGTAGAAACAAGGAAAAAATCTGCAATATAATCCGAATTCACTCTATCCGCAATACAATACGGATTCACACAATCCGCAATATGATCCGGATACACTCAATCTGCAATATGATCCGGATCAACTCAATCCGCAATATGATCCGGATCAACTCAATCCGTAATAAGATCCGGATCAACTCAATCCGCAATATGATCCGGTGAAAAAAAGAAGGTGTTTGGAAATTTGATTTTTGGTAAAATAAATTATTAGAACTTTTAGAAATATTTGTAAGCTGGATCCGGATCTGCATCAAAATTGGATTGATTTTATTCTTGAGCCAAGTTTTCATACACACTGTTTGTGCATCTACATACACATTGTTTGTGCATCTACAAACCATACTTTTAATTGATCGCGTTCATTAATCGGTTGGTTATGAATATTCAAAAAAAAAATTAGTTCGTCAAAATCGAACGCATATATTTTTTCTACCCCATTTTAGTCTGAGATTATACAAAAACAGACATGAAATACGATTTCTGAACGCTTACCACACATTTCAGTTTTCTATTTACTTTATCTTTGCAACCTGATGTCCTAGGTCTTATATATTTCTGAGGGATTGAATATTCTGACAGTTTAAAATGTTGAATGTTTATATCATCAGTTTGCAAAGGTTTGAAGATTAGATTATGTTTCAAAAAGAAAGTGTTCACTTCCGTTAAAGAACCATTTCTGTTAAGATTTGGTAATCTCTATAGAAGAAAAAGCTGAGTAAAGGATCTTGTAAATCTTAGTATTTGTAGTCGCCGAGTTTTAGAAATGTCGTCAATATTAATAATTTTTATATTTTTCAACAATACATATTTTACTTTAAAGGGGATCAGAAAGAATGTCGCGGACGCAAACCCAACTACAACAAAGTGCATTCTGTCCGCGTTGGAATCTTTTGTTGAAAATTTGTCAAAAATAGCGTAGAAACTCTTATGTACTTAATTATTTAAACTTCAACGCCTAAACGAGTATAAACATCTAAAGGGGGTGAAATAGGAAATAACGTTGAGAAAGACTCAATTTAGACTTTTTACCAGAACCTCTGGTTTAGCGTGCGCAATGCATGCAAGCTAGGAAACCTAGTTTAAGAATTTCAGAAGAAATGGAGCTAACAGAGGTGGATACCGGGGAATTGCTCCCACACAGCTCTAGGTTTTTCAAAATTTTAATCTTAAAAAATATAAAAACTA